TAGCAAAAAATGGAGGCTGGAACGTCTGCAGCACTGCAGCCGCTCTTGCTGCCAGACTTGATGGAGGAAATGTGGAAACAACAGGAAAACATTTTAAATGGAATCACACATAATGACCAGCCATGGTGAAACATGGAACCCTACAAGAAACTATCACTGCTTCACATGGTTTCATGGAAAGCAGACATGCCACCCTTCACTGCGGATGCTGCATTCACACCTAATGGCAAGCTATGCTAGTTTCCAGCATGCCTTGTTGTTCTATGTGAATTCAGCCAGTGACTGGCTCAAGTCTCCCAGCAAGGTTCATGGCCACGTGGCGATCTCGCCAGTTCCAGTCTCTAACCACTGCACCACACCACTTTGGCTCTAGTGTTCTAGTCTCACCTCTTCCATTATATCCTACTCTCATGCATCTGGGGATATATTTTCCTTTGGAAAAACATTCAACAGTGTCAGCTGCTCAATCGCGTGAATTGGTCCGGTACAATTTTAACCACTATCTGCTGCTGGTCCAGATTAGGAAAGAGCAATGGGAATCTTGAGCTCTTCCACGGTTCTCTAAATGTGGCTTGTCTACTTCCTCAAAGTAATCCACCAACCTAGATGTGGGGCAGCAGGGCAAGGTGAAGAATTTCCTGCCTGGAGCGCCACCAGGCTGCCTGTACGTATGGCACAAAGCCCCGGGCTCAGGAGCTTTTTCTTCCCTGGCTCTTGTCCTCGCTGGATTGTGCCGAGCGCCCTGTCAGCTTCTCAGTCTCTCTCCCCGAGCAGCCTTCCCCAGCGTGCCAGCACTTCCAGAAATGAACTATGCACCCCCCTCCTCTTCCCTCTCCACACCTCCCTCTTCTGTATCCCGACACTGGAGCTGGGGAGGCAGAAAGCACGCTGCTGCTGCTGCCGCTGCTGCTCTCTGGCCCCAAGCCTCGCACCGACCGAGCTAATGAGGGCCAGGTTTGTTCCACATGCAAGCGCGACTGCCAGAGAGACGGTGTTGCTCGAAGATGGGAGAAGAAATCCGCGCCAGGCATGACTTCTCACTGCCTTTTAACTTCAGCAGCTGGAGCAGCCAGTACTGTAAGATGGGATGGATGTAAATCGAAGTGGCTGCATTGCTCTCTCTTGGACTGTCTACTGTATTAGATGAATTAGATGTATTAGATGCATCATTTTGTTCCCAACAACATCACCCTGAGCTGCAGTTCCGTGCACTCTGATGTGGGTATAGGATCTCAGGGGAACTTCTGCCTCCACATAACTGGATTGCCATGACCATGTTGAAAATGCAGGAACAGAGAGGACAAAAATCCTGCTCTACATGTGTGGTAAACTCAGGGTTTAACTCTGGAAAGGGGATTGCTAGACCATGAGCTGACCAAGAACTTCTCTAGATGGCTGTGCTACTTAGTAGCAATGCTCAGAAGCTCTCTGCTGTTCCACTACAGATGTTTCAAAGCCATTCATCCCACCAGATGACCTTGTTCTACTGATCTACTACTCTACTTATCTACTACTCGGATCTGAAACAGCTGTTGTCAGGGTAAACCAGGAGAGCTCCACACCCAGTACTCTGAGCTCTATGCAGCAATGATGGGTTGAAATAGTGATAAGCATAATCATAAGAAGAGCCCTGCTGGAGCAGAGCAAGGTCTCGTTGAGTCCAGCAGCCTGGCCGTGCAGCGGTCAACCAGTGGCCCATGGAAAAACTGAAGCGGGGCAGCAGAATCCTCCTGCCCATGAACGCAGCAGCACCTTTCCCGGCGCCTGCTGTACGTAGGCTTTCAGCCTCCGAAACTACAGGCATTATAGGGCCTTCATTTGTTGCTAGCCTCTGCCGTGAACTTGCCCAACCCCCTTTGAAAGCTGGCCAAAGTGGAGGTGAATTCCACAGCTCAACTATGAGCTGTGTGAAGAAGAGCTTCCTTTTACCCATCCTGACTCATCCTCTTTCTCCATACCATGAATAATACTGTGCTCCTCTGTCGTGTTTCCCTTTACTCACCATGTTATAACCTTTCTCCTAGAAGAGTTGCTCCAACTCTTTCGATAGTTTTAGTTGTCCCCTCCATTCTGCGATAGCTTTTTTAGGTGTGGTGACCAAACTGTGCAATAATAAAGTTGCAGCATGCATTTGTATAAGCAGGGTATAAAGTGGGCAAAATTATCTTCAATTCCTTCTCTGATTGTGTTAACATGGAATTTGCCTTTTTTTGCAGCAGCTGCAAACCCGGTTGACATTTTCCTTATCCTGTCCACCACAACTCCAAGATCTCTTTCTTGGTTAGTTAGTGGCAGCTCAGATCCCAGCAGCTTATACTTGAAGTGGAATTTTTTTTGCCCCAGTGTGGATTACTTACAGTTACTTACTCTGAACCCCATTTGCTGTTCTGAAGTCAAGTCTTCCAGTTTGGAGAGATCCTTTTGGAACTCCTCCCAATCCCTTTTTGCTTTAACCACCTGAAATAATTTGGTTTTGCTAGCCAACTTGGCCACTTCAGTGCTCACTCCTAATTCCACATCATTTTTGCATTAATAGCATTAATCACAAAATACATTTCTTTGATCACAGTTCTCATTGGGAGAATTTACCAGTTATCCACACTCTCTGCCTTCTGTTCTTTAATCATTTACACTGAACTGTCTCTTTCACTCCAAAATACATACAGAAAGAATGATGGAGGGATTTCCCCCCTCTAGCTCTTCCATGGAATGGGAAGGTCATGCTATCAACCAGTCACTGATGAGTCTCTTTTGCTTAGTTCTTTTAAAGTGACCAACTGTAAGTCTCTAGCCAAGGAACAGGCTTGCTGTAGGGCTTTGGGCACATTTGGCAAGGTGAAAAGATGTCCTGGGTACTACCATAAAAAGGCTGCTATGGGAGGTGTGGTTGATCACAAAGGACAAGTAACCAACCCAAAAGATAGAGGCAGGCATGGAGACTGAGCTCCATCACACTAAATAACTCCCCTGAAGCCATGTTTGCAGCAAGGACAGAAATCTATTTCACAGCCATTCTCAGCTGCATGCATTTATTCTTTAAGTGGGATGAGCACCAAGAAAGATGCCTGCAAATTCACTAAAGCCCATGGATACCATGTTTCCTACCCCTGTCCTACCAAATCAGGTACTCTAAGAGGGACCAGAAGCAAGAGGACCACGCGGAAGTAATGGTGGCTGCCAGATGGGGACTGCTTCAGTCGACTCCGTTGGACTGGGGCCTGGTCCATCACCTCTCACAGTTGTCTTTACAGTCATTGTGCATGAAATGAGTGGCTGCCAAAGGTACAGCATGCTTCCAGGTGAGGTTTTTATTGTACTATTGGAATGTCAGGATTCTCCTCTTGGGCTTTCCCCCTGCTTCATCCATCTTTTCTAATTAACAAAAACCCAATCAAGGAGGAAAGGATGGAATAGCTGCACGCAGTAGCCCTTTTCTAGGGATGGGACAACCAAGGCTGTTCAAGCTCAGCCAGATTCTCTGAACTCCATTCAAAGTGTGGTCTTCCTCACTTTGAATTTTGTTTGTGGCCTGTTTTCTTTTCATTCAAATGGGGCAATTGTGCATTCCAAAAGGAAAAAGTGCACATTTCTATGTGCATTTTTCAAAAGGGCCCCACTGACTTAGGTGTGAAAATATGGGGCTTTCTTGTTTTTTTGTTTAGAAAAAGGTACCTTTTAAAGCAAATACTCAAATATTCAGCATATACATTATATCAAGTTCAGGAATGTGTGAGAAAAATTTCTTTTTCTTTTCCCCAGGAAATTGTGCTCACATTTAGGTTTGGGGCACGTGCTGATGATTTGCCAACAGGAATGAAATCTTTGCACATCGGAGCAGGAGCAGGAGCAAGAGAAGGAGCAGGGCTGGAGCTCCACCTTGAATGTCATGCACGTTTATGCAGACTCCCCTTGCTCAGCATTTGCACATATGGCACGGATACCTGTGGAAGGGAGGCCAGTGTGCATACATCAGTTTCTCTCCCACTGGTGCTAGCCTTGCACGAGGCATCTGTGAAGGAGCGATAGCATGCGCGTGACAGCTGAGCTCTGCAGTGTGCACCTGCTCCCTGCTGGCGGGGCAGGCAAAGGCATTTTGCATGCTTGGATGGGCTAAGTCCTTTTGGTAGGCAGCACTCGGAAGAGTTCCTCTGGAAGCATCCACAGATACAAGCTGGCTCTGTTTACATTGGACCCTTCATGACAATGCTGTATGGTCTCCTTGGTGCAAGCAAAGTCATGGTTAGCATTTTGGTGCCACAAAATGTGCGTGAGGCATGAGGTGGGGAGAAAGAAAAGGGGTGAAGATTAATCTGTGACTATAGGCCTGTGGCAACTCTCTCTCAGCCGGGTGAGAATAAGGGGACTGAAGAGTGTGTGCATCACTCCAAGCTCCTTGGAAGAATGGGAGGACTTAAATGGAGGACCTCCATATTTTAAACCACCACTTCCAGCATTCCTGACCATTGGCCATACTGGCTGGGGATAATGGAAGCTGTGGTTCCAAATGTCCGGAGGACACCAGGTTGGGGAGAACTGTTCTAAAGCATTCAGGGGATGGCTGAGGCCAAGAAATTGGCCAACCAGGGCCAGCTATGCCTCTCGATGGAGCTCCATTCATCACCCCACTGCAAGGTGGTGTTGTGTGGCACAGGACATGCCCACATGGCCCAGTGCCACCTCCCCACGCTCCTGGGTTGTCTCTTTTCCAAGCAGCCCTCCAGAATCCAGGGGCCTGATTTGCCCCACTGGAAAAATCCATCCAGCAGACTTGTCCTTTAGTTGCAAATGTCCTTTCCCAAGCGTTCGGGAATGGGGTGTTTACTGCAAGTTGTGGGCTCGGGGTGGGGGCGGGTGTCCACCGGCTCCCTCCTCCCGGCTCCTCCTCTCCCCTAAACTAGGAGCTGCCAATGGGCTAGAGAGCAGCATGGTGCACGGGTGGGGGAGGGAAGGAGAGGGGGCTGCGGTTCAGGATGTGGCTGGCTTTTGGGATCGCCTTCCAGGTAGACGAGAGCGCGAACTGTCAGATCGGAATTGGGAATTATGTCATAGCCGCGGCGGAACGCGTTCAAAAGCGTTTCCTCCGCTGGCTGATTGACAGCCCTCGCAGGGACAAGGAGCCTATATAAAGCGGGGGAGAGAAGCGCCGGGAAGCCACTTAAAAGCAAGCCCAGCCGGAGAGACTGAGCTTCTCCATACCCCTCCATCCCGCCCTCTCACCGAGGACGATCCCTTGGCGGGCGCTCGGCACTGCACGGAAGGTTTTCAAACGCGGGATTCTCTTGGGGCTGGATTTGGGCGCCGCCGCTTTCGAGAGGAGCCCTGCACGCTGGACGCCAGGTAAAGTGCGGGGAAGGGCTCGGGCGTCGGGAAAAGTTTTGCAGCGCGTGGCTCGATGGGGAAACGCTCTCGGGAGCGAGGAGCAAGGAGCACGTGCAATCAATGGTGAGCAGGCTTCCTCGGAAGTAAGCCTCGCCGAGCGCACGGAGACTCCCCACGAGGGAGGTTACATTAGGTTTCCAGCGAAATCAGTGAGGCGCCTCGGTCAGGATGACTGAGTCCCGCTGATTTCAAGAGAGGCAGCGCAGCCTCATCCACGCATCCTCAGACGTAGGATCCACTGAGCTCCGGGGGACTTGCTCCCAGAGAAGCTTGCAGAGGGTTTTGGCCTCAGCCCTTCGTCTTTTCTTTTCGATCCCCCTTAAAACTCCCCCGTCCCTCTTTGCTTAGTCCGTGCTCTTGGATGCTTGTAGAAGCCCCCAAGTCTCTCCCCTCTTCTTTTCCGTCGGGAGAGCTTTGCGACGGAGGCTAAAAGGGAACCGAGATTAGGGCTGAATAAACAGCACGATGTGGAGCTGGGGAGGTTTCTTGTGCGAGCCCCTTTGGAAGGAAGGGGGACATGCCCGGCATTAGTGGACGGCGTGCAGGTAGACAGTAAAAGTCTCTACGGGACCTTTGCTTAGCTTTGTGCAGCAGCCAACAGCCCGGAGGACGCACTGCTAGCGAGAAGAAAGTCTTTCGGAGCGCACTCAGTGGAACTGGCCGTTTTCCTCCAAAAGAGCGCAAGGCTCCCGAGGCAGCGCTTGCTCTTGGGCTTAATCGATGGCGAACTTCTGCACAAGCCGTCGCGAAATGAATGGGAGCTGCAAGCGCCTCCCATTCATTTCTCCGAGGTTTGCACGGAAGAGCTTCCTTCTGGATAGTCCTCTTTGTCTGCAGCATTCTTTCGTGTCTAGGGACAGCACGTGCCAACTTCATAACATACTGATTGCTTTTCCTAATGCTAAACCGTGGCTTGGCAAGACGAACCCTTCCCTCAGACGGCCACATGGTCAGTGTATGATGCAGCTAGAATTCAGCACGTTTCTTGCTTGCTTCTTTATTTGAAGAGTAGCTAAACATGTCCTGAAGTCTCCCCATGAAATCAGTGGGATGAAACAACACTTAACCTTGACTCACTTTGTGCCCACAGTTCCTATAGTTATAGTCAAGTCATGCCAAATGAACACCATCTGACTTCCAAATGTTACTGCACATCACATTCTCTCATTTTATTGCGATCTGTGGAAATGTGCAGCGAAGCGGTGAATGGCAGAGATTTGTAGCTAGATCCTACACAGGAATATTTATTAATTAATGGCATCCTATCTTTCTGCAATGAATAGGCAACCAACAACAATAAAATACAAGAGACAAAACACCATTATAATTAAAAAGAAAAAAAATAAGTCATCTAAACAGTAATTGTTCAGTAGGGCTCACACCTAGCAAGTATGCTTAGGTCTGTGCCTGTAAACTTGTAAATTTCAAGATCTAGCCAAAAATTAATCAATGAAGATATTTGCAAGCATCAAGCAATGCACATAATATATCAAATGAAGGCACGCTTAGGTTTAATCTGTCGAGTCTATTTAGACCCAGAACAGATGTGCAGCCCACTCGATGCTATTTTACTCTGAAGGAAGCCCCCCTGAGTCCAATTAGGCTTAATCCAAGATAAGTATCTGCAGGATTACAGCCTGAGATCCAGAAGGCTATCTGGGATCATTCTATCCTGAGGTATCAAGAGGTACAGAGAAGCCAACTGTCTGCTGTTTTTCCAGTGGTGAATGTGTGTGAGTGTGTGTGTTGGGGGGACTGAGACAGAGAGACTGGGATTTGCTACTAGAGTGTAAAATATAAGTTAAATTACATGTGAAACCCTGCTGGAAATGCCATTATCTTCCAAGAATGCTGCTCTGTAGCTGGCCAAAAGTGGATTTAAGAGATGCAATAACTAGTAGACTATCTGACAGCCCAGACGTCGCCAGGAGAACTTTTGAAGACAATTCTGGTTATACTGTAGATGTACAGGAATGAAATGAAATGAAATGAAATGAAATGAAATGAAATGCAGGAACTCCTTCCACCCTCTCCCTTGAATTTTAAGGAACAGCCTCACTAAAGTCATCAAAGTCAATCACATGCAAATACAGAAGTGTGGGCAAATATAAGAAATAAATGTCTTGTTTGCTGCAAATAATAGGATTTGCAAAAAACCCCCATTTGCAGCAAACAGTCAATAAAATGCAGTTAAGGAGCAGAATTTGCTTGGAATGTAGTGGTTTCCTCTGCAAGATTAAGAAGACTTAATAACACATACATCTTGCTTTGTTCATAGGCATTATGTTATATAGGAGCTGGCTGTTGTGGCTGACTATCTTGCTAGCTTTGTGGATTTCATCAGAGGCGCAAGGTAGGTCTTTGAATATCTGCATCATTTGAGCCAATATTTTCAGAATGGACAGAATATATAGAAACTGTAACTTGATTTCTAAAAAGGAGTTAGCCTGCAGCCAATGCATACTCGCTTGGCTTGGTTTTGAGAATAACTGCTCAGATATTTCTTTCCACAGCATGCCTGAAATATGAACCCAGCTCGAATAGACAAAATGCCTTACAAGAAATGTATCAAGGAAAGGGGAGAGGGGGAAGATGGGTGGACCAAATGTATGGTGTGCATCAACTGACCAATCACCAAATTGCTACCTAACAAGTATTTCCAAGCACCAGATTAATTTGTAGTTTAAAGACCTCCTTTGTTGTGAATGCTAAATACTTGGCTGTTAAAATATATATAGTGATGATTAGATGTTCTTTGATAGGAGCTAAGATTCAGCCAGCAATCTGAAAGCAGAAAACTGCCATAAAGAATACTTTGTGATTGTTGCTGTGACTAGTTACTTATCTCCTGCTCTTTCTTGAGAAAGGAAGCAGAGAATAGCTCAAATGCAAAGCACCCCGGTCCTCGTTTCCTTAGCTTTGGTGGGTGCGACAATATTGGGGTCTCCCAGGCAATTCACTGGAATGTTATAGTTATTTATGTGATGACTTGATTTGAAATTGTAATGGATTTCAAGAAGGATATTTCTTCATACCTTTTCCAAGAAGCAATGCCAGATAGTTAGAGTTGCTGAATTTGGTGTTTTGAACGGCAGTTATCCATACTGCATCATGAAGAAAGTGATCAGGCCAGTAGCAAAACCAAAGCAGAGCTGCAATGATCCATTCTGCAAGCAATCCAGCTGATGATGGGTCTGATACTCCCTGATGATGGGACCCATTATCCTGCCTCCACAGCAGTTGTTTCCTTGGGCCCACAGATGTTGCTGGATTACAGCCTCCATAATTCCCAACCAGCATGGCCAGTGGTCGGGTACGATTGGAGGTGAAGTCCAGCACCATCTGGGCCCCTTGGACTGGGGAACGCTTCCACAGGCGCCTCTAGCTTTGGTCTCAATTAGCAGGGCTTGCTTGAGATTTTTAGAAGGTCGGACAAGTTGGATGAAGCACTGTTCTGACTTGATATGAGTCAGCTCTTGGTAGTCCACACAGTGCAGAAACCTATCCGTGGCAGCAGATACTTCGGAATGACTCCCAGGTCATACCTTCCTGCAGTCATAGAACCGTACCTTTTTGGGTGTATCACATTGGTCTAACTTGAGTCCCCTTTGTTGCAAGTAGGACTAGCACGGGCTACATCCCATCAGAAACAGCAGTAGAAGATAGCTTCCTAGGGCTGGAGTGCTGAACTTTGCTTTTGGAGCCCCAGATCTCTGGGAGGCCACCCCTCCCATCACCCTGCTGCTTGTGGGCACTTGCTGAAATGAAGGTCCAGGGGCCCTGATGGTCTTGGTTGTACCTGATCCCTGACTTTGTGCCCTCAAGTGTTTCCTCTCCTGCTGCCACCCACCCTTGAAGATTTTGCCTGAGATGTTTCCCTCTTCTGCCCTGCCCACATATCTCTTTGGGTGCTCTTAGGTGACAGGGCCTTTAAAGACATCCACATGAGCACAGTCTCTGAAAAAGAGGGAGAGAGAGAGAGACAGAGACAGAGACATCAGAGCATGTGTAATTCATGCAGATTTGTGCTTTTTTTTTTTTTTTTTTTTTGTCCCATGAACCTGAACCTCAGATCTTTTGAGCCCCTGAAACCCATACACTTCCATCATTTTAGGCCACCTGGGTCTGGGTCTTTAGCTAACTGCCACTACTCCCAGTGCCTTTAGGTAACAGGACAAGCCAGAAAAGATACAGGAAGAACCTATGCTATGCTGGGACCACTCCCCATGCCTTTCTGGGTGTCTTCTCACATATGGTCTAAGACTTCTCATAATGCTGTTGATGTGTAGGAAGGAAAAGGCGCAGAGCAGCTCCTAGGATATTAATGTAAGCACGGGCCTTGGAGAAAGCCAATGAAACTTAGCAGTGCAACCTATGTCTGCATAAAATTTCAGGATCATGGTTTGAGAGGTGCCCAGAGTGTGTCACTAAGTTAGATGATACCTATTGATGGCTATTGATGAATTAAGCCCCTTCAATAGTCAACCAGCGTGGCTCATGGACAGAATGTAGGCTTTGGTTCCGGGAATATATTTCTGCTCAGCTGAACGGGCTTGAGCAAATTATACTTTCAGCTTAAATGTCACCTTCTGTAAAATTGGGATATGGGTGACCTACCACATAAGGTGGTTGTGAAGATGGATGGAAACTTGGCTGCACGTCACACTGTGATTGTCAAGAGAAGTGATGGCAATTAATGGTGGCTCCGCTGCAGCTGAGGACCTTCCCAGATGCCCATGTAGGGGGCAGCAGGAGCACAACACCATTAATTGGTGGGGCCAGAACGCAGCAGTGGTTTAGGTGAACTGAAAACGCAAACGTGCGCATGCTCAGAGTGTTTTTTAAAATCAGGGTTGACAACCATTTGTACATATCAGGCATGTAGAATCATGGGCATATTATGGAATAATAATTTGGCTGGGGAGAAAGGGAAGTTTAATTGGGTGCTTGCAAATGAAGCAATACCCAAGGCCTTGTAAAACCCGCTCCATAAGATGACCCACTTCAGGGTATAGGCTTACCGATCTGCTTTGGAGGGAGTCATTAGGTTGCGGATGCATAAACATATTGCCCATTTCTTTGTTAATCTTACTATCTGCTGGTGACTTTGCAGATGGCCATGGAGAAGATGAGACTACTTTTGACTTACTGCAGATCAGCAACATAAACAGGAAGACAATTGGAGCAAAAGTATTCCGGGGTAACCTCTCCGGTGTCCCAGCATACCGCTTCATCCGGTTTGATCACATACCTCCGCTTAACTCAGAGAAATTAAAACAGATTGTTAAGCTGATCCAGCAGAATGAAGGCTTCATACTTACAGCCACCCTGAGGCAGGATAGGCAGTCCAGAGGCACTCTTGTGGCCCTGGAAGGCCCCAAAATCTCTCAGCGGCAGTTTGAGATTGTTTCCAATGGCCGAGACAATACACTTGAGCTTGCCTATTGGGTAGATGGCTCCCGCAAGGGGTATCCCTTGGAAGACGTGGACCTAGCCGATCTACAGTGGAAGAATATCACTGTGCAAGTAACAGGAGAAAACTACAGTCTCTATGTCGGTTGTGATCTCATCGACAGCTTAAGCCTTGAGGATCCTTTCTATGAATACCTGAAAGCAGAGAAAAGTAGAATGTATGTGGTAAAAGGATCAACAAGAGAGAACCACTTCCGGGTAGGTAACCCGCAAGAGATATTGTCTGTGAGATAAATGACACGCTGGGCAATGCGATGTGTGTCTCATCAGAAGTAAGTCCTGCTAAATTCAGTAAGGCTTCATCCCAGGTAAGTCTGGGCATATAGAAGTGCAGCCTTAAAATGAGATCCTAAATATGTTCACAAGTCCTACCACACTCAAGAGGTCATGCTTCATGGTAAGTGTGCTAAACATGGTAAACTTAGGCCATAGCTAGATATGATCCAAATGGAAACTGCAATCCTCTGTCTATTCCTTTGTCTTCACTCTTATATAGGTAGGGGGTAGGGAATTGCTCCAACCCTAGGACATGCACCAAGGACTGGATGACATCAGAGGGTAGGTCCCCTTTCCTTGTTCGCTGGCAAGGGAAATCCTGCTTGTATTTCCAAGGGCCAACAGGAGATGAGAACAGGATTTTCCATGCTGGTGCTGAGAAGGGAAAGCGACATTTTTCCTAACTAGTGCTAGTGCTGCTAAAGGAAACCCTGTTCTTCTGACCAGGGACTAGAGCGAAAAAATGGGCTCTGCCTTACCACCACTAGCCAGGGAAGCTCTCCTCTTGTCTCTGCTCCTTGATGACCATGTAGCCTGGGAATGGTGGGAGTTGCAATCGAACACATCTGGAAGGCACTAGATTGGAGAGACTTGACCTAAACTGTTCTCTCTCTCAGCATAGTGCTTGCAGTGTGGTTAAGCCCAGTGTCCCTCTGATGAAACTTGGGGTTCCCCTGGAGGATTTTCCATTCCAAGGTTAATTAATGGCTGCTAAACATACATTGCCACAATTGTCAGGGAAAGGAGGGGAAAAGAAAAGGTGTCATCAGCTTAACTGGAGAGAGTTAGAATCATAGAATCATCGAGTGGGAAGGGGCCAAGAAGGCCATCAGGTCCAACCACCTGCTGTTGCAGGACTTCACGTTAACACCATCCCACTCAGATGGCTGTCCAGATCCTTTTTGAATGTCTCTAGCAAGGGAGAGCCCACAGCTTCACTTGGTAATAGGTTCCTGCATCATAGATCCCCATTAAAATCAACATTTTACAAAACTCCACTAAAAGAAAACCATTGTAGCTCACTTAAAAGCTTGTGGTGACAGAGATAGATGGATATCTCTGTGGGGAGGGCCTGTTCCAGGCTGTTAGTACTTCCCTGGCCAAATTCTTAATATTTGGATACACTTGGTTAGAAACAGAAAAGTATGTTCCCATCAAGGTTGTCTGCAAGAAGAAGATTCTATTTATGGCTCAATTCTGCATAGGTCTTCTTAGAAGTAATTCCCATTGTGTTCAGTTGGATTCATTTCCAGAAAAACTTCAAAGGAGAATTAGGGCTGTAGTCATTTATTGCCTCTCCAAGGGGCTTTTCTGGTTGTAACGAATAGGTGGATTATTTTGTAACAATGGTGAACTGGTATGCCAATGGCAGCTTCCCAGTATTTCTAAAGGCACCTGTACTTGTTTGTATATCCATGTGTCCTTCACATGGAGCAGGTGGCACCTGTCCACCTTCCCCACTTGGATATCTGCATGTAGAATGTACATATATAAGCAGAAAATGTGGAATGAGGATCTGTTTCGCCACCCTTGGGGTCAAAGGTGGGGAACCTGAACTAAGTCATGGTGGCCAGGTCAGATGGGTATTGAAGTCCAGAGGAGACCAACTCAGACTGAGCGCATTTCTCTTTGACCACTTCCCTGCATCTTTCTTCAAGCTGATAGGTGGGTGGTGGAAAAGTGGTTTGTAGTATCCCTGGAACTATGTTACTTCACTTGAAATATGATAATGAGAAAATCTACCTTAAGAGAGGTAGGCTGCAATCCTGTGCCTATTTAAACAGAAGTCCTGCAACTGGGAGTTGCTGGGAGTTATAGTACTTTTTTGTTCTGTTACCCTTTAGGCTCCGTACCATGCTCACTGTCCAGAGGTCAGGAACTGTAATCCAGTGGGGTTACTAGGGCTTCCAGAATTTCCAGCACCACTCCAGCATTCCTCTGGGAAAGCCATGTGGGTGAACCTGGGATAAACCCACGATGAGCTTGTAGTAGGCAGTTATCATTCGTTATATGTCCATTCAAGGGACTCATCATTCGCTCCCATCTGCCATTGTACCTTCACAACACCCCTGTGAGGGTGATTAGTTTGAGAGATGGTAAAGTCACAGTGCAAGCTCAGCAGTTAAGAATCTGAGCCAAGGTGTCTCCTTTCCCAGCCAGTTTCCACTCACTTGGTCATATGGTGTGGTTCTATGGTGGGAAGTGTGTGTGTGTGTGGGGGGGGTTGTTTGGATGCTCTTGAAGTGCAGTTCCCCAGCTAGCATAGGCAATGGTGAAGTATGATGGGAGTCACAGTTCAGCAGCATCCAGAGGCCTTGGTGTCGCATGTGTGCTGCTACAACAAAGATCAGAAAGGTTGCCATGGACAAGCAAGATAGCTATTTGGATATAATGTCCCATACCAGAAAATTCTGTCTTGCTTGTTCATGAACCAAGGTAATTGATAAATAACATTCATCAGAAAAATAATAGAGTGTGTTCATCTATTCAGAATTAAAGTCAAGGAGGAGAGAATAAAGCTGGAGAAGACTGAACAACAGTTTGCTGATAGCATTTCCCGGTATGAAAGATCTTTCTGTCTTGTTTTGTAGGGTCTCCTTCAAAATGTTCATCTGATTTTTGGAAATTCAATTGAAGAGGTCTTATACAACAAAGGCTGCCAGAGGACCCAGTCAGGTAAGGAGAAGAAGAGAAACAAGCCACATGGTTTGGAGAAAATCCATTTATTTTTGTTTTACTTGGGCAGCTTCTCTCCTCTTATACAAGAAGGGCACAGTTCTTAGCATAATTAGACAAAGTTTTATCACTCCCAGGATGCTCCAGCCATCCAAGTTTTCAGTTTTGAGCAAAATAAGAATGGTAAGTATCCCTTCCGGAGTAGTTTTGCTTCTCTTCATTTTTGTAGAAACATATGGAGAACTTGAAGAGAAAAGCTAGAATGTTGTATATGCTGCAAGCTGTTATTTTCCAACCAACTGATCAAAATAAGTTGTGTCTTTAGCTAGAACAGCTCTGAACTTTGAAGAAATAAGTTGTCAGCTGACTCTGTGCAAGTGGTATAGCTGGGCTGGAACTTGAGGCCAAAGTCCAGGCCCATGCAGATGGGGCCCCAGAACCTCCCAAATGACCACCCAGAGGGCAGTAAGTGGTGGCAAGAGAAGCAAACTCTATTTTATTCCAATCTCCATTATGGTGCAATGGTTTAAGTGAGCGTAATGCATGAAACAACATGTGCTTGGGCTTGGCAAACATTCAGACATAGCTGGAAAGGTTGGTTGTGCAAGAAGAGCAATATTAATTGTATGCTCAGCTGTCTAAAGTCTCCTTCACATGGCCAGCAATTTGCCATTAAGTCCAGGATCGGAAATTAGGTAGACATACCAATTCTCTGTGTATGAACACTGATCTTTTAAAATATCCTGTTTTAAGGTCAAAGCAGATATCCAGGGGATGATTCAAGGTCTAGAGTTGTGTCCTGTCCACAGGACTAGACCAAGACATTTTCCTACTTGAGAAAAGAGCAAGATGGCTCCCCCTCCCAGTCCCAAGTAATGAAGCTAATCCGATCGGCTACTCAATCTTACTTCAGCACTGACCATGGGAAAAGGCCCTTACACTGAAGGAAGCAGGATAGCTCAGATGACACGGAGTAGACTCTGCAGCACATTCACAGCTCCTCTCTGCCATCCGCTGCTGCCTGAGATGGCTGCCTCAATCGGCCTAACAGCAGGGCTGGTCCTGGCCAGAAATGTAACAATCCACATTAAAAGACTTAAATGTATTCCCCTCCCCACTTATGGCATTCCCATCATTGGGTTTGTCTTATCAGCTCTGGTGTCTGTGATCAGGTGTAAAGGTTTGGGATGGTGATCTGCATGCACTGAGAGCTTGCTCAATAAACAAAAATGCACATTTGCAGCCATGTTTTTACTTGGAACTGTATTGACTTCAGAAGCAAATTGGCCTTCCAGTAGGAAATGATCAGAACGAGGGGCTGCCCAGCCTACTTTGCCTGTGCCTCCTAAATAGAAAAAAAGAGATCAGTTTCCACATGTACATTTATATAGAGACATAGGAACAGATTGAGTCAGAAGGGCTCTCCCAGTCCATCTAGTCTGACCCCGCAGCTTCACCCACCTCCGCTCATGCATGCCTACCATGCGCTTGTCCAATATATATGTATAGGTGCAAATTTAGAAATAAGAACTGTAAATATAACACATCTTACCACAGAGGAGAATCCTCCCCCGGTGATCTGGGCAGCTACTCTGTTTGCTATCCAGGTGCTGTTGATGGGCAACTTCAGAACTGCTGCTGTCCCTTCATAGGGTTTTTTGACCATAAGACTTGGACTGGTCTGTCCATGAAAGAAAAGACCTTCTGAAATGAGGACTGTTTACTGCTGCTCTCCAAAATTATTATTATTATTATTATTATTATTATTATTATTATTATTATTATTATTACATTTCTATGCCGCCCCTTGCCAAAGCCTCGGGGCAGCTTACAACACAATAAAATACATTGAAGCGGTACACCTTCTATCAGAACGTGTCGATGTCCTTGCCCCAGAGCAAAGGCAAGCCCCAGATGTCATCTTTTACTGGATGTCCACTGCCATTAAGGAACCTCACCTTGGCATTCCTTGCATAGTTAATGCTGCCTGCATACCCTTTGCGGTAGCTTCAGCCTTAATAACCACCTTAAACTGCTCAGACAAGGCAGGACTGAGGTTAGCATTAAAATCTAAAGCAAATGATCTCAAAAGTGCCACATGTGGGAAAAGTTTTTAAGTGTCTATCTGCAGAAAAACTTCACTTCTTTCCACAAAGATGACACCCAAGTAAATGGCACTGCATGATAAATTGCTCTATTGTGCTGCATTTTATTTGCAGGGTTTCTGGTCTAGAAGCAAAGAGCCAAGTTATTTAGATGTCTCGGTACTGGAAACAATTCATTATAGGCTTTGGAAAATTGTTTGCTTTACTGTTGTCACTGTGGCTTGATTGATTAGCTTCATTAGCAGACGGCTATCTTTTCCTTGCCAAACCCTTTCTGTTCCTTCTTGATCATATTTCTATGCTCTGATTATTTACAGAGATAATATTAGAATTTGCTCTCATTTAGCCATGTTGTCACACTGTGTAATTTTATCAATCGTCCTGGAATTATTCTTGATTTTCATGACTGTATCTATCAAATCATACATTGCATGAAATCAGCACAACATCTTTCTGTTTTTCATATAATATCCCAGGCAATACAATGAAAACTATGAACAAATTTTAAAGGGCAGCCTTTAGTGGGCAACTCTGTTGCAGTTGTACACAACTGCAAATGTACCTTAGGAACATATAGCATCTTGTAAACAAGTTTATACTGGGTTTAGCACTGCTAAATATCTTCAAATGCTCATTACAGTCACTGCAAGAAGATACATTCTACCAAAAAAGTGAAGTATAACACGCATTCAAAACTAACTCTCACTGATTTCAGTGGGGTTTAAACCCTGACCCTAATAAGGGCATGTAAGCACAACGACTTACTGCACAACCCAATGATGTCTACTTGGAACTAAATGGCATTGAATTTATGTGGACTCATTTCTAGGTAACTGAGTATAGGATGATTGACTGATATCAGAGTAGGAAACACCATCAGGTGTTTGGCCTAATATATGTTGAAGTGTGGAAAAGATAAAATGAGATTTGTGTGTGCAGGAAAGGAAGAGATGTATTCTGCGTAGTGCGACCCAATTCTATGCATGTTTACACAGAAGTAAGTCCCTCTCTCCAGTGGGTTGTTCCTCTCCAGTAAGTAAAGAGGAAAGCAGCCTTTATTCCTCTTCGGAGTTTGGTATATGATAAACCAGCAATGATGGAGCACTTCTTTTCTACATGAGGCATATATCACACACTCATCATTTCCTACAAACAGCTATTCATGGGTTCCCTAGATCTGCTTCTGTGTCTAAACAACACTTGTACTGAGTATTTTTAGAGCAGGGAAAATGTGGCATTTACCTGTGAAAGTGAGAGAAACAAGAATTTTCTTTTATGTATTGGTGCTATACCACAGTGCCACCTAGAGATGAGGTACCAGAACACCAGGAAAGGAAATGTTTCTTAGGGAGTGCACGGATCTCAGATCTGCAGCTCAATTGATACATTAATTAAGTAATACAGTGGATGAATAGTCAATTTACAGCCTTACATTGAACAGCTCTGAATGGTGCCAAGTTTTTTGTGAAGCCTGACTATTTACATAGGGATTGGTTTGTGTGATCAAATACATTTCCAGCCCACAAAGCACTGCCTGGTGCTCAAAAATACAGAAGGTGACTAGGCCAATCATAGAAGATTGCTTTCTACAAGTGGGTACAAATTACATGAAAATAGATTTCAGCTAAACATTAGGAGAAACCTCCTAATGACAATGGGATGGACTGCCTTGCAAGGTGAAGGAAGCTCCTTCACTTTAAGCAAAGGCTGAACCTCCATCTGTTGCAAGATTCCTGCACTAGTCAGAAGTTAAAAAGCAGGGCTGAGTCTCTGGAGGACAAACAGGAACATTGTTCATTCTGTGCAAGGAAAATGTGAGCTACTCCTTCCCCAATTGGTTTTCTGGTGAATGCCAAGGAATGTTAGAAGTAGAATAGAAAGTGCACCTGACCTTGTAGCATGCTTTTGATGTCTCCACTTGTTCTTTTGGCACATGTGCCAGCAGCAAGGATGCTTTGACAGAGGTGTGGTGTTATCTGCAAAGGACCATCTGTTGAAAAGATGAGCAGTTTTAGAAAGAGCAAAGGTCTTTGATTTTTAAAGGGGCTGAGAAGGCACATTTAAAATGATATTAATGGTGATGATGATATCCCTTTAATTTTAAAATTTTAATTATTCAAATTGTTAATTTTAACTCTTCCTGCCTTTAGTTTTAAGAGTTATACAATAGAGTGCTCTCTCCCTTTCTCTCTCAAAATATTCCCTGGAAAAATCTCACAAAGCATTCCCTGCTTCTTTACTTAGAATCAGGTCCTACTTGGTTCAATGGGGCTTAATATTAGGTATATATGTATATGTAGGTTTACAAACATTGTGGCTGTTCAGAGATATGGTTTCACTGCCTCTATTAACCCCAGTCCCAGGTTTCTTCCTCTTCAAATGATCCCATCCAGTTAGGGATCACTTAAGGAGAATGTGCACTCCTGCGTGTTTCCTTCTTTCTTTCCCTTTGTAGCCACTGCCCCCATGCCAGCTCCTGTGAGTCCCTTAACCTTGCAAAGCAGATGCTGAGAACTCACAGCAAACGGTCAGGGAAAGGGGAATAATTTCTCATTCTGCTGACAAAAGCCAATCAGCTGGTGAGAAAGACTAACTGGGCGCAGTTGTACTGAATGTGGTGGCATCGCAGCATTACGTCACTTGTCAGATTTGGAGATGAGACATTATTCCTGAGAGTGAACCCAGCCAATTGAGACTGAGCAGAAGAAGCCAATGGTTTACACATAGTCACCTCTGCCCCTCCCCAGCCTATCCACCCAAAGGACCGACTGTGTTGAGCAGCCTGTAGCAATGGCGAAAATGAGTTTCCATAATGGACAAAATTCAAGACTATCTTCTGTGCAAACAACTGGGGGGGAGGTGCTTTGTTTGGAGCAATCCCATGAAGGAGCTCATTTGCATTAAGATATGCATATAAGTGTGCCTGTTGCATATATTGTAGCTTCTTGAAATGGTTGATTGGTCAAAGATGTTTGCTTTCTCAGCATGATGGAGTTTTTAAATAATACTCGGGAAACAAAATAGTGGCAACATTTCCAGCCATATTTCTTCTTCAGAGTGGTCAGTGATACTCTCTGGGGTTGTGTGTGGATTGCAAATAACATTGCATTTTCTTACTTGCCCTGTGCTGTGTCCCCATGTTTGCCCCGTTTTGTTGGCCAAATCTTGTGGATGAGGCTGTTTTTGAGCTGGGATTCACTCTGTGAAAAGGAATGGCTATAAGTGGAAGGCGACGGACATGCAGTATGTCTGTTTTTCTCTTGGGTATGCTTTGGCATGGAATTGTTCCTTAAGAGAGATGGCTACAATTCACCTATAGTGTCAGTATGTAATTTGAGTCCTAAGTTATAACCAGTGAGAAATTGTTGTATACACACATGTAAGGGCCATTTCCCCCCATTTCTTCCTCTCAGCTGAAGTGAACACCATTAATGAGAACACGGAGATCCTTCACCTTAGCCCTTCGGTCATGACAGAGTATATTGGTGACAACATGGAGAAAAAGGCAGAATTCTGTGATCGCTCTTGTGAAGAGCTTGGTTCTATGTTTACTGAACTCACCGGACTGCGGATTGTTGTCAATGGCTTAACTGAAAAGTTAGAAAAAGTGGTAGGTATTTTGAAGTATTCTGTTCTAGGCATTTAGTTATTTATTTACATGGCAGTGGTTCCTAGCATTCAGTCCCCAGGCAGCTTTTGACTCCTGCTTAATCTTCTAAATTTTGAATTTTAGGGTGAAATCCTATTCATGCTTAGACAGGGAAAAGTTCGACAAGAGTAAGACCAACTGGGGAATGTTGGCAGTTGTTCTGCTAAAGAGGTATAGGATTGTGCCCTTAATTTTTGACATAATAAAGTGTCCCTGGAAAAGTGGGCTGAAAATATTGGCATGATGCAATACCTGTGCAGTCATCTCAGGACCAGCCCTATCTTGACACGAGCTGGGTTCAGACAACTCCAGGATAGAATATTGTTGACCTGTGGGTTGATGCTGAAACATGGATTATTGTGTTGTCTGAACCCATCAGACTGTTCTGTGCTGAACAACCCATGGTTTGTGAACAGTTCTATTCTGGGATTGCTCATTGTTAACAAGCCATGGCTTATCAGCACAGCTGGTTTCAAACAACATGATAATCCATGTTTCACCACCCACAGTTCAACAACAATCCAAACTTAACAAGTTATGCATGGATTATTGTGTTGACTGATTCTTCACTGCACCCCAAGGATGATTTATCTGAAATGGTGTGGTTAGGTTAAGGTGGGGAGGAACTTGTGTGGCAAAATTCTCCAAACGCCTATGGCACAGATCAATCTCTCATCAAAGGATGAGGTATAATTGTACTTTCTGGGAACAAAAATGGTATCCCAGCCTCCATTTAACAGTCTGAGTACTGGGAAACAGGGTCTCACCATTTGTAGCAATGCTTGCTGGGACAAGGTCATCTGAGGGATGGATTGTATGTTCCCATTCCCATCCTTATTCTATAAAACCACTGTACCTAAATAGGCCCCCAGTGGCTAATCCTAACAATTCCTCTGTGCTATACTCAATTACTAGTGCCGCACATAAGAACATCCATAGATCATGCAGCAATACGTTAATGTGTCTTGCCTGGCTCTTGTTTCAATGTCTTCAGTCCTTCCCTGTGTATTATGAATCCTATTCACACATTGGAGATCAATCTGAAGTAACCTAATGTGTGTCTCAAGAGTGAAATTATCTTCTGTTCTGAGGACAGCGAGTTTAGCTTTTCAGTAGAGTTTACTGAGATCTGTATAAGCTTGGCAAGCCCTGATGGGAATATCAGCTGAAAAGTTTACACCTAGAGGTATAGGGGAGCCACTTAATTGTTTGCTGCTTTTCAGTGAAAGCATTCTGTTGGGTAAGAGAAGCTTTCTTTCTAAGAATTCCAGCTTTCTGTCCTAAGGGTAGGGTCACTTTCACCCTTGTTTGCCTGTGGTACATTGTATAAAGATCAAGTTGTCTCTACTGATCCCTCTATTTCTTTGTAACAGTCTGAGGTGAATGAAAAGATTGTGTCTGAATTACTCGGTCCCAACAAAACACTCAAGAACCAGTCTGCTTGCTGGCAAGATGGCCGTGAATTTGCAAACAACGCCCATTGGGTTGTGGACAGCTGCACAAAATGCCACTGCCAGGTGAGTCTTGATGGGATTGTATGCCAGCCTTTCCCAACCTGATACCCTCCAGATGCATTGGACTGCAGCTTCCTCTGTCCCTGAGCCACATAAGGTTGTCATACACCATTCACCTACTCTCAACCACATGTAGAGGATTTGCTGGGGATGGGTAGGTAGCTCTTCCAATCTGGAGTAAAGAAATTAATGGGATTTTGAATATGCTTTCACATGACCTTGATCTTCAGGTGATGACTATAAACATACATTGGGATCCTAAGCACACCTATTAAGTCTTATGCTTCATTGTGTAGAGTGGTGCAGACTTCCAAGCAATGTGTCGAGGATGGAGCTGACCATGGGATAGCCTTGTCATTGCACATTTCCTTCACATGCTAATCTTCTACAGTTGGATGTTCAACATATACAAATGGAGCCTGTTACAGGGAAGGAAAACCTGGATCAGTTACACCGATGAACAGCTCATGAGCTAGTCAAGTAATCCTTCACCATTGGCTGTACTAGAGCTGATGGAAGTTCTAGGCCAAAACGTCAGGAGAACTGCAAGTTGCATATGCTTGAACTAGAACAATAGGAAGATATTGTCTCAGCAAGGAAAGAAAACAACCAAAGCCTTGTGGAGACTGTCAAGGCTCAGGACCGATAGTAGGGTCAGTTCCATTGCTTATGTGAACCATAAAAGGACAGTACGCTGAATCTGTAGACTGAGACTTCCATGAGACTTGGGGGATGAAAATTTCCTCCAGGAACTTCTTCTTTGAGCAGAGGATGGTGGCAGGGTATGCTCCCTTGTCGTAAGGGCCCTGAATAAGGCATTACCTGTCTTAGGAAGTGGCCTATGCCTCTTCTTCATCAGAATCCTTCACAGCAGTGCAAAGAACTCACAACAATGGCACAATGTAGTATTGCTCCTGTAGGGAACATCATGATCTGTCCTTCTGGGTGGTATCTCATAGAGTTTGTATGTACGCCTCTGGTGGAAAAAAAGCATCATGCCTGCTTTTGCATTGCTTGTACATTTCGTTTCCCTCCCCGCTTTTTGAGGAGATGGCTTTACTGAATGCTCTAGCATTTAGTTTGCCTGATATGTGGGTAATGGTTATGTTTTGTTTTCTTTGCATACAGAATGCTAAAACAGTCTGTAATAAAATCACTTGCCCAGCTGTGCATTGTGTCAGTCCGTTGTTTATTGAGGGCGAATGCTGTCCTGTCTGTTCACACAGTAAGTACGAAATACAAGGGCAATGTATCTTTCAAACATGTGGGCTGAGCTGCGATGAGGTGTTTGCTCTTCTACCTGTCCACCCAGGTTGTCAGCAGGTAACGTGGTGTATTCAACTACATGGAATTTCAACATAATAAATGCACTGTATAGTTTAATGAAAAATTAACAATCATGAATATTGTTTCAGTAGGCAGGCAAGTCTTTTATGGCATACAAAATGGGTACCTTACAGGTAGAACCACTACCCATTATTTAGGAATATTTAGAATTAAGAGGAGAAATTATCAAACACTTGCATATTTTCAAAGTCTTTTGCTTTGATATGGCAGGAATAATGCAATACTTAACAGCCTGCATTAATGACTTCACCCTGCTGTTATTTTGGCAAGCTGATCAGAAAAATAGTCAAAAATGATTTGGTGATTCTTTCCCAGATTCAGGTGATTAAAGGTGCAGTCGTATGCCAGCGATGAGTAGCTGGTTGGGGCATGCTGGGAGTTGTAGGCTTTTTCTGTTGAAACTTGCATGGGATTGTACCCTAAAGTTATCTTTGTCTGATGCAAAGGGATGCCACTGAGTGCTGTTAAGGTAAATCATATTTGCAGAAATAGATTTGCATAAATTAGACTTTTGAGGCAATCTATCACTTTTGCCATTGTTGTCACACAATCCTGGGTCTTGTGAAGAACATTCAAACAAGGGTTGGCTGAAGGGTGGTAAGGTCCTTGCAGGAGATGTTGGGTCTAGTCCTTCCCATTCTTACTGAGACCTGCTGCAGTTGCTTGCTAACCCTCACAATTTATAATTCTCATGCAAGGGACTATGCCAGCTCATCTGTTGTTAGGAACAGACTGTGGGGTGGCAAGATTTTGATTTGGGCATACTTCTCCCATCCACTCAAGCCTCTTAGGTGTCCCAACCCCAACTGACCTGCAGGGGATTCTGGGACCAAGCTTTCTATTTGACTCTGGAAGTCATTGCCATGCAGGCCAATGGACAGGGGGGTATACCCTTGTTTGTCTACTAACCTTGGGAATCTGAAACCAACTATTGGTGGCCCACAGCCTTCTAAGGGTCCAAGGCAGGTTGATCTGGCAAATAATTCTCATCCCAGGCAAATGGCAAATAAGTCTCCCATCAGTATTTACACAATGCAGAAGAGGCTGGTGATAACTAGGATTCTTGTACACATGTTTTATGCTTAATCTGCTAGCTATATGTATCACTAATGGAATTTCCTTGGAAACCTCTTAATGCAGCAATGAGCAATATGCAGTCTGTGGGCCATATGCAGAGTTGAGTGCCCCATGCTGTAGCCCCTGCCACCCCTGAATTTGGGGGAAAATATGAGGGGTGGAATCTGGAGGGAGTGCCCAATGGGTCAAAATTCCCTTATTTGCAAAAATGGCCCCCAGATCTCCTGAAGCGAACCTTAATGCCTTGTTGCCTAGAATATTTCCTTCCACTAGTGAAAGACAAGATGTGGTAGAAAGAAGAGAAGGAGCAGGAGAGATAAGCAAGGCTTCTTCCTTCTGAGAAGATTAGCATTACTCCAAAGGTGAATTTAAATCTGCAGTCTGAATTGGAAGAATCCTCACACAGATACTTTCCATCTCAATTTTTACAAGTGGAGCTGTTTATTTGAAAGCCCATTATGTTACATCCATTCTCCTACTGAACGTCAAAGCAAAGGAATTTTTGAAAATTATGCTTCTCAGAACCCTATTATATCAGGAGCAAATTTGTACATGGAGTAACCTTTAAAACCTTTCAGTGCATTTTTGGAAACCAGATGGGTGATATATCTTAAAAGTAATCAGCAACATCTTATGACTGGGCTGTGTCCATCTAGTGCAGGGGTCTCAAACTTGCGGCCCGAGGGCCAATTGCCGGGACGGGCGGGGCACGGGCGAGGGGCCCTGCGGCCTTCAAAGCGCTGGTGGCCCCCGGGCCGGCCGCGGGATGAGCGGCCCACCACCCCCACGGTGGTGGAATACTTGATGCGGCCCAGCCTCACCCAGACTCTACTTCCAGCGGCCCCCAGGTACGTTGAGTTTGAGACCCCTGATCTAGTGCTTTGGGCTGTATCTAGGCTTAACAGCTCTAAAGCTTTGGAGGACTGGTAATTCTTCAGCGTTAAGTCCTTGTATTCTTATTTTTATTTGCAGCTGATGATAGCGAAGAGGGCTGGTCTCCTTGGTCTGAATGGACAGAATGTTCCATGACGTGTGGATCTGGAACACAACAGCGGGGAAGGTCATGTGACGTCACCAGCAACACTTGCCGAGGCCCATCCATTCAAACCAGAACCTGTTCCCTTGGCAAATGTGACAATCGCAGTGAGTGCGGTAGCTTTCGTTTCCTTCACAGCTTCAACTTGTCCCTCAACAAACAAAACAAACCTGGAACCAATCATGTATTTAGAAGAACTGTTCAGGGTCTTTCCTTTTTTCATGAGGAAAATGGGTGGATCAGGGATAATTTGACAAGGGTGGAATGCAAACTACCGTAATGCCATTGCTCCGGTTCTTACAGGAAAGTACTGTTCATTAACTGTTGCCAGTGTTTTGATGGGTGAGGATGCCATCCTTTGCTGGAGATGTTGTCTTGCCAGACTGTGGTAAACAGTTACATGAACTACTCATGGAAATGGGACATATTTAGAATTCAAACGGCATGAATATCAAGGAGGAAAACTCAGCTCCTGGTTCTACTCAGCATTTTTGAAAATCCCGTCCAACTGAGTTTAGTTCTTTGGAGTACTATGCGCAGGACCCATGGATTAAAATGGCTAGATATTTGCACGGTTTGACAGACAGCCGTAGTTGCTCTGGACATTTGTAAAAAGGGAATTTTTATTGGAGCCTTACAAAACTGCACAGGCAAGAGTGTGATCCATGATTATGTCTTTTCTCCTGACCAGTACGTCAAGATGGTGGCTGGAGCCATTGGTCCCCTTGGTCTTCCTGTTCTGTGACCTGTGGAGCAGGCAACATAACTCGCATTCGTCTCTGCAACTCCCCCATCCCACAGATGGGCGGAAAAGGCTGCAAAGGAAGTGGCCGTGAAACGAAGGAATGTGAGGGACCCCCATGTCCAAGTAGGTTTGTTAGTTTGCACTTCCATCTTCTGATCAGGCTCGATGTCACATTTGTTAGGCCACAATAACTTCTATAAATGTTGGAATCAGCAACGGAAGCCCCCCTGGGCCAAATCCAGCCCATATCAAAGTGCCATTTAGTCCTACTAGTACCGTGCTATCAGTAGACTGCTTTTTACCTACCTCACTCAAGTGGCACTTGAGGGAAACTGGTTGCTAAGCAAGGTTGTAACTACAGCACCATTGTATCCTTCTAAACAGCTTAGGATGCAATCCTATGCTCACTTTCATTGAGGGCAATCTCAATGAAAACAATGGAACTTACTTCTGAATAAATATGTGTAGGAATACACTACGTCCAGCTTAGAAATTCCTAGGCTTGTTGAACTCTCTTGGGTGGTTTGGGACACAATCCTACCTATGTTTCAACAGCAAGAAGTTCTACAGCTCCCAGGATCCCTCAGCCAGTGTGGCTGGCTGAGGCATTCTGGGAAGTATATGACATTTTGTTGTTGAAATGTTTGCAGAAATGCACCCTTATTTGCTGTTTTTTCTCCAACAATGGAAGCCTGTGATTGCTCTCATAATTTGGGTTTTATAGCATCCACATGAAAAACACATGTTTACCAAGGAAGCAATTTTGCAATTTAAACAGTACCTGATTTAGATTGGCTGTGCACCTCTTAGATGAAAAAATCCCTTCAGATCTCTTTATTGCAACCCGCCTCTAGCTACTGCATATATTTCAGAGGTAAATAAAGAGTGGGTGATGCCGCTACAGGCAGAATATTTTCAATCCATTCAAAAAGTGAAGCCACCCTTTCAACTGGAATAGAAGGCAGAATGCTTTCCCCATGAATGGTTGTGTAGGAAGACATTTCATTTGGTGTAGCTTGCCTGATTGGTTGCACTTGCTACAAGTCCCCCTTCTACACCACCATTAGAGCTGCAACAGCCCTGCTCTTTCTTGCTTCTGGCCACCATATCTTGCTCAAGGAATGTGTGATTCCAATGATGCTGGAGAAAATCCAATGGATTTTCTTGATGCAGCTCTGTGGATTGCATTCTATCCACCCTGTGCTGGTGCAGACTTGATCTGATGTAAGCTGAGCCAGCATGTGGCCCATCATTTTTAAAATGGGCTGAACTGGTACAAATGGCATCCATTTGCACAAATCGAGGAGCAGAGACCTGAATTTTAATCTGAAAATAACTATCAGCAATGTCAAGGTGACCAAGGTAGAGGGTGTTTGAATGCAGTGAGGGAGGATGCTTCCACCCTCCTCCTGTGAATGCTACAACAAGATCATCAGGACAGAAGAAAGACTTGATTCTAACTAGTTGGCCCTAATTTGTGCAAAACATGGTAAATATGCATAGTTCTTGGTTCCAAATTTGTGCAAATATTTTGAATAATTCTGTGGAAGCTGAAACCTACCTTCTTTCAACTCAGCCTATCTTTGGCTTGGGAATGTGTTGGAAGGCCATTGAGTTCAAACAAGATGAGTTGTACATGCCTAAAAGTGACCACTTCCAAAAGTTTCTTGAACTCAACGAATAGCTCTGTGGTCTGCTGTGGGATTGCAGTGCGGCTTGGACTCATATTTCCTGTTGTCTGGCCTGTTCCAGTCAATGGACGATGGAGTCCTTGGTCTCCATGGTCTGCGTGCTCAGTTACCTGCGCAGGAGGGATTCGTGAGAGATCACGTCTCTGCAATAGCCCAGAGCCTCAGTTTGGCGGGAAGCCATGTGCGGGAGATGTCATCCAGCGTGATATGTGCAACAAGCAGGATTGTCCAATAGGTGAGTACCAAATGAATTGGAGAGACAGCTGTGATCTATGCAAACATACCGCAGTCATGATTGTTGATGTGTGGTCCAGCACTCCAAGTCTTTCTTGAAGGACCAGGCTAAGAAGGGGCCATAACTCTGTGAGGACACATAATATGAGTATGGAGAAGGCATCACTAGGTAGAAGCAGCTTGGACAGTAAGATTGAGAAAGGCACCTGTCTGAATCTCTGAGAAGCTGCACTGAGTCTGACAAGAATGGCCCTAAAATTTGAGTTAAAATAAGGCATATTTACTCACAGTAGTTGTCACTATTGTGCCTTTGTAGAAGATGGAGTAACTCTGTTGCATTGAATATTTGATATGGTTATCAAATATAGTAATTGTTACTTCAGCCAGATGTTTATATTGACATATTGTGAAAAGAAACAGAGTCTCCTATCTAAATGGTGCAAATTATTCTTGTTTCCTGCCTTTATTTCTGCTTTATCCGGAAAAGGAGATTAACTTAGGGCTGCCACAAATAATGCTCTTTCACCTTGTTCCGGCAGATGGATGCTTGTCGAATCCTTGCTTTCCTGGGGCAGAATGCAGCAGCTACCCTGATGGTTCTTGGTCCTGTGGCGCATGCCCTGCTGGTTACCTTGGAAATGGGACATTCTGTGAGGACCTTGATGAGGTAGATGAAGTTTCAGTGTCCATGGAAATGCTTCTTTGACCCCACCTCTGGGAATGCGTGGTTGTCTGTGTTGGAGCTTTCCCAGTGAGATAACTCAGTACATCTCTCTCTCTCTCCCAATTTGTGTGTTTTGGACAGTGTGCAGTAGTGCCAGACGTTTGCTTTAAGTTAAATCAGAACCACCGTTGTGTAAACACGAATCCAGGATTCCACTGCTTGCCATGCCCTCCACGCTACAAAGGAAATCAGCCTTATGGGGTGGGCCTAGAAGCTGCCAAGACAGAAAAACAAGTAAGTGCTGTTGAAAGAAGGCTGGTGGCCAGTAACGGAATGGAAAATGTTATCCATCTGGTAGAAAGATGTGGCACACAGAACGGAAGATGTATCTGCCTTAAAGAGTCATTGTTTTAGAGAACCATGGAATTAGCAAGTGCAACACTGAATGTTTAAAATATATGACATTCAAAGCCAACCCAAACCCATCTGGACTTTTTTCATATTAATTATTGTCATGCAACAAAGGATGGCAGAGATATTAGGGCTTCAAATAGGTTAATTAGGACCAAATAAAAAGGTATGTGGAGAGTGTAGCAGATGCTTTTTGGGAGGGGCATTAAGAATAGTTCTTCAGCTACTCCCTACTATAATACATTTAATATGTTGTGGCAAAGAACCAGCACAGTTAATATAATGGGTACATTTTGTGAAAATATATGACACTGCTGGAAGATCTCACTTTGCAAAGAACCGAAATTCAGGAGGAGGCAACGCAGAGAAATTGTATTTTACTTTTCTGTCTTAAAATAGCTGTCTTTGAGTTGACTCAGTGTCTTCGTACTGGTCCATTTGTTGGTTGACACACTCCGTGCAGTCTAAATGTTAAGTAGTAATTAATATTAGTAATAAAGTTTTCAGTCAAAACAAAATTGATACAGAAATTCCAGTCAAGGCTTGTTGAAAGGAAATCACAGTCCATTAAGCTGGCTTGATGATTTTAAAACAAAGGCAGCTAACGTGTTGGTTGGGTGCTACATCCTGAAACTGCTGCACAGGAAATGGGTGGAGTTGGATATTATTGCCCCGTAATAAATTTATGTTGGTTAATGACATGCAGGAGTTTGCAGATGTGGGAGAAATATGTTGAGTAATCTGTATTTCTACTTAACACTATTCTTTATTTAAATAAAGCCTTATTCATAAAAGCAGCATTGACAAAAGTGCATCACTTAGAAACTCAGCAAGCAAATGTTCCTTGAGTCTTTGCTCAGGATTTTAATGAAAGGTTGTTAAATCTGGGCCCAACTAGAAGTCATGTGGCCTAAAGTTCAACAGCACTCTGGGAAGCAAACACTTCTGTTTATCTACATGCTTTGGATGCTTTATGTTCCATTTAAATCAAAGGGACTAGCATATTGGCTTCTTGACTTTTTGTACCAAAAACAAAACACCAAACAAAAATAGGTGAGGTTTTGAATCAGAAAAAATATGTCTTCTGGGTTGGCTTGGTTTGGTTGTTTTTGTCAGCTCACTTCAGCCTCCCCTGAAGCTGGCACCCTCTAGGAGTGTGGAATTGTAAGTCTCATCAGTCCCAGCAAGCACATCCAATGATCATGCTAGCTGGGAATGATGGGAATTATAGTCAAACATATCTGGTAGCACCAGGTCAGGGAAGGCTAGTTTAGCTGAATGCAAAGTTTGTTTTGTGTATTATATCAGCACTGCATGTAAGTGACTAATCTGTTACTTAAAGCAACTTTTTGCTTTAACAACTACAGATATTTCAGGCACGGACTAGCCAGCCTTGTTCAGTTCTTCCAGTCTTCTGTACTGATAATAGTAGATTCTCCTCTTGCTCTCCAAGTATTTTAACTTGCTACAATGAGAATGAAATCAAAACACATAACAATGACTCCCATTTCCTACTGTTCAGGAAAAAAACCATTTATGTAAAGGGAGAAAATAAGGTTCATTACATCAAAGCTACCTACCCTCCCCAGTGTAAGCCACATCTCATGATCCAGTTTACTTAGCCTGTGTTGCTTAGTCCAGCTGTAGACCTACACAACTCATATCTCCCTACTGCGGAATGGTTTGAATGATTATGTTTCACATTTCAGGTATGTGAACCTGCCAATCCTTGCAAAGACAAAACACACAACTGCCACAGGTCAGCAGAGTGCATCTACCTGGGCCATTTCAGTGAGCCCATGTACAAGTGTGAATGTAGGACGGGCTACGCTGGTGATGGATTCATCTGTGGTGAAGATTCTGACTTGGATGGATGGCCCAATAATAACCTGGTCTGTGCTGCCAATGCTACTTATCACTGCATTAAGGTAAGTGAGAAAAAGTGATGGACATTACGTCTATAAAGGCCTTAGTGGAGAGCACCTGGAGTGGCCTGCGGATAGCCTCCAGCAAATGGTTTTTCTCAAGCCATTTATTAGGCTACTGTTGATCAAAAGAATGGCAAGTGAAATACTCCTCTCATTTTCCTGTCTTATCCTAAGTTCCAAGAACATGAATCAGTACCTCAACTAGATTACAATAGACTAACATGTTTGTCTTTTCTGAAATTGATAATTAAATGTGAGCATAACCTATAATTTACCTCTCATTTTCATTGTCCCAAAATGTAACTTACGGCATCTAAATCATGCTAGTGCCAACTCTCACTGGCGCTATGCTGTTTTGAAGGTGGATCCCAGTACTTACACAGGCCTAGAACTTTGTATAAAACATCAGTTCATTTACAGAGCAATCCTATGACCCTCTAGACATCTAAAGGGCCACAGAATTGTTCAGATTTCCAGATCTGAGGCCAGAGACAGAATTCAGAAAAGTGCACAGTACAAAAGATAATTTGTGTCTAATTAGTCCAGAAACTGCAAATTTGGTTAGCTAAAAATAGCAGCTCAAGAGAAATTTGGCCCTATTCCTAACTGTAAGAATTCCCCCCAGCCCCCACTTCGTTCCTTCTGGAGAAGGGTTCTGTGCTTTACTTAAGAATTGAGATCAATGTTTGAAAACTGCATGTGACTCCACAATTCTCACATGAACAGGAAGCAAGTGCTAGACTCTCACTGCCCATACAATTAAGACATCGATACTTTCCGCCTTGTCTGATGTCTGCTACCTTGTTAACATGGCCAGCTCAGCATTTACAGTTCACATTTCTCTTTTTTTTGGTTCCTGCCATCAGGACATCTGTGTGGAGAAGCAATACCAAGATCTGCTTTCATTATATACAACATCTAACATGCTGAATCCATTTAGAAGAGGCTATTCCCAAAAGCTCAACCCGTTATTTTTGTAGTATGTTTGTGTATTTAATAGAGGTTAAATGCCTTCTTTAACAAACTAGCAAAAATATTGGGTTGTAACTATCATTAGTAATCATTCCCTCTTAGAAATATTATCTGACATAACCAAAGACCACCTCCCACTATAACTTAAGAGTACTGAAAGTTAATTGCATACATATGCACTTTAGCTTATGCATGCGCAATCGTTTCAGAGTTCCTACTTCTAATTTGCCCATTGATGTATTTTATACTTTCTTGTGGGGCACGTGTTTACTCATAGTCTGGAGTCCTTATCAGTTTGTGCAACAGAACTGAGTACCAATCTAGGATTGTTTGTGTGACTAGGATAACTGCCCTCTCCTGCCTAATTCTGGGCAAGAAGACTTTGATAAAGATGGGAAAGGTGATGCCTGTGATGAGGATGATGACAATGACGGTGTAGAAGATGACAAAGTAAGTTATCTTTCTTTAATTTATGTTAGCTTTTCAGAAGAAATCAATATGATTATAATCAAGAAGTTGTCAGTGTGTTTGCTATATTCGAATTTTATTAAACCAGGTTTGTTTATTGGACTTTTATCCTGCCTATTAGCCATAGGGCTCCCTGGGCAGGTTACAAATTTATCTGCTCTCTAAACAACTGTAATTTATGGATGTCACTGAACATTTCAAGCCAATACAAGTTTTCAGAGAATGTAACATTTCAAGAGTCTTGCTTTTATAATTGTTTTATTGGAATGTATAAGACAACATACATCTGGGCAAATATTTAAACTTGAACATTGATGCCAGAATAATTTGTTAAATTGATCTATCCAGGACACACACACACACTTGATGTTAAATTATTGGTATTATTAGAAGTATTACCAGTAGTGGTAGCAGGAGGCCACTGGAAAAGCCCAGTGGGAACATGTTTTAAATATAACTGTGTTTGTAGAAGAGGGGGCCAATATATATTTTGGGAATGCAATTGTTTCTGGACTATGTTCATATATTTTTTACTATTGTTTATCCTTTTAGGACAACTGCCCCCTGCTTTTTAATCCCCGTCAGTTTGATTATGACAAGGATGAAGTTGGAGACCGTTGTGACAATTGCCCCTATGTGCATAATCCCGCTCAGATTGACACAGATAATAACGGGGAGGGCGATGCGTGTGCTGTGGACATTGATGGAGATGGTACATTCTTATTCATTCTTACATATTTTGCTCTAATTCAGCATTGTAGCAAATGGTTCAGAATAAACCACAACTCAATGTCCTGCTCTCTCCCTTGTAAAAACAACAACCTCTAGCCCAAACAATTGCTCATCATATCTAAGCCCATTTGTGCCTGTGTTTAAGAAGGCAAGATAAAGGTGCCAACAAGACGTTAGATGCACTCAAATACCCTTCTTCTTCATGTGACATTGCTGCACCCATGGTGGTTTATGTCCACCATGTTCAAACTCAAATGACTGGATATTGCCCAGTCTTGAGATTTGCTTTCTTAGCCACAAAGCAATGCTTAGGATGGTATTGACCAACAATATTGGATTTATCCAATGGTGGTGTTCCTTTCTGGCAATTCCCCCTATTTCCCAGCACTACCTTACATCCTGTTTTACAGGATGTTTGAGCCTTCAGAGCAGATTCAGTGAAACTGTCTCTTTCCCTTCCGTTCATGGAACTCTCCCCTGGAACAAAGAGCCTTTTGTAAACAGAACACCATCATTGGACAGAAGCCAGTATCATTAGTTTCATTGTCTCGTTGGTCATTTCTTCTATTAATCCAGATATCTGAGGATTATTTCTTGCTTTAAAATAGTTCCATCAGAGTTTTGAATGTAATTTATTTTCTTGTGAGTTTATATCCAACTTTTTATTCCAATCTAAGATATCTAATAGTAAAATAACTCCCACCCCCTGCAAATGACCATCATTATCATAATTCATTAGAAAATACATTAAACTCCATCCAATTTAACCATAAAAGTAGCTGACTCATCAAAAGGACATTTTGAAAGGAATATTTTACATGATCTTATAAAAACCAGTAGAGCTGGGCACTGGTTGGTTTCACTGGAGAAATAACCTCATAGTGTTGAACGTGGTAGAGAAGACCTTCCTATATCTCCTAAGTAGTTCTGGAATAGATCTAACTCCAAGCAGGTCTGTCTAACAAGTAGTGGAAGGACACACATACACTTTCTAAGAACATTACATTCGATATAAAAATGATTCAAAATAGAATGAAAACATAATTATGGTCCACCAATACCCAACAGTTATTGGCATGTATTATTCACTTACTATGCTAATATATAGACCACCCAATAAGTTGAGCAACTTACAAGGAAAAAATACAATACGATAAAATATTTATATCAAGTATGCCTATATGAGGAACCACACTTGATCTGCCAGCCAGATCAAATGTCTTCCTCCAAAGCTTTTGCCAGAGTGCCTCAGGAGCGGAAAAGAAATAAATTTTGGATCATAGAATATTAAGGATTCCTAATTACATTTTTGGATCTGGAAAGGAAAAAAAAATCAATATTAAAGGTTTTTTAAACTGCCAAAACTGACCTGAACAGTAGCCCAGTACTCAAGAATCTACCAAGCCAAACATCTTTGGTGTTTTTGGAATACTTCTAGGTTTGCGGTTTTGGACATGACTTTGAAGCAGAAGCATCAATGTCTTTAGAAAGGAAGTTGCTGCAGCATGTCCTGGCAGTTCAATTCCAGTTTTCGCCAATGCGGGGAAAACCCCAAACTATGCAGCCTTGGCTTTGATTCAGTAAGGGCATGCACAAAATCTTTGATGTGCGTATCTGTGCAGTCTCTCAAACCTTTCAGGATTGTCAGTAGTATGGAGTTCCTTTCAACACTCGGGGATATTTATTTCATTTATTTAAATATCCCTGATCTTCATGTAGATTACAACAATAACTTTTTAAAAATAAATTCTTTAAAAAGGAGTTTCATTTTGGTCATCCCTTTGAACAACAAAAGAATGGACCAAAAAAAAAAAAAAAAGTAAGAGCCATGAGAATAAGGCTATCAATGGCTGCTAGTCTGGATGACTGCATGCTACCTCCACTAGTAAAGCCAGCATGCCTTCGTATGCCAGTTGCTGGGGAACATGGGTGGGAGGGCGCTGTTGCATTAATATCCGGCTTGTAGGATCTTGTGGGCAGCTGGTCAGGCCCCTGTGTAAAGAAAATGCTGGACTAGATGGGCATTGGCGTGACCCAGCACAGCTCTGCCTATGTTTTTATATTTGGAAGGGCCATCACCAAAAAGGCCGTAACTTGACATACTTTGCAGACAGAGTGCCTCACCTATGATTTGCTGCACTCGGGCTGGTAAAAGGCCTGACAGTTCTGGTCAAAACCAGCACTTTGAATTGAGCATGGGAGATGATAGATAGCTAATAGAAAGTGAGAGGCTGAGAAAGGGCAGGATAAAAATACAGTAAATAAATAAATAAATGCAATAGATAGATACATGCAATAAGTAAGTAAGTAAATAAATAAATATGTTCTTACTTTTCCCCCATTGTCAGATCATGTAGCATGCAACGTTTTTGTATGGCAGATTGTTGGTCATAAAGGGGTGATCCCAGAACTAGGTTGGGGATTATTCACTGAAGTGACATCCTAAAGGTGTTTGGTCAACAGAGAATCAGACAGCAGAACCCCACAACCTTTCAGAGAGCTAGGGGAGGCTATATTTTCCCTATGGAACAAGCATAGGACAATGCAGCCGTGCTCTCAGTCAAGTTATTCTGCTTGCTGCTGACACAGAGAAGGCCAGGCTTAAATCCCAAATCAGTCATGAAGCTCCCTGGATGGCCTGCAGCTAGTTCTTTTCCCGCAGTCTAACTTATCACATATGACTCTTGTGAAGATAAAATAGGGAAAATCCCATTCATGACTGTGGTAGTTTTTGAAAACTGAACGCAGCTCTTTGTGAGTGGAATGTGAACATATGGCTTTATTTACCTTGCTTTTTCATCCTGGCAGATGTCTTTAATGAACGAGACAATTGCCCGTATGTCTACAACACAGACCAGAGCGATACAGATGGGGACGGAGTTGGTGATCAATGTGATAACTGTCCACTGGTACACAACCCGGATCAGGTACATAAAGTAGTATGTCCACATGGAGGCTGAATAGATGGATGTTGGCCGTGACTTGAAGAACCTTCATTTTTTTTCCCATTGTGGAAGTGCCATAGACTTAGTTTGGGGCCTGAGGTGGAATTGGAGCTCCTTTGCCTGCCATAAAGGATGTTCTACCAATGCCAGGTAGAAAGGTGGTGAGCAAGCAAGCAGTTCCCTGCTGCTCTTCCTCCTCACAACAGCCAAAGTGAAAGGCAGGTGAACAAGTCCAGGTGGCTCAGCAGTGGGGTCCTGCCAGGTGTGAGCCTTCAGCAGGTGCCTGACTATGCCTATTCTTGACACTGCATCCCAGGCTGGACTGGATCCAGATGGGCTCAGCTTAAGCAGAATGTCTGCATTGTGCAGCCTCCAAAAATGACCGTCCCTTTGCTACCCATTCATAGGACTCCAAAATCTCCTTAGGCAAACTTTCCAAGACACATTGCCTCACTCTGCTGGTGGCAGGTCTGACTTGGGAAGGGAAGAGAAGCTTATTCTAGGATTCCTCAAAGCTGGGAAATGTTCACAGCAAAGACCACCCCCCCACAACACACACACACACACACACACACACACTGTGTGCCTGCTTTGCACAGTGTTCCTCCAAAGAGTTTCTTCCCAAGCTGGTGTCAGTGCAAAGGCAGCTGGGACAGTGCATGGCATTTCTATTCCTGTCAGTGCAGCAAAATATATGTCTGAGTGTGAGGGAGTGCGTGCGTGCGTGCGTGCGTGTGTTTTATTTGGCCCACCAGGCATTTTAAAATTGGTAACAGAAGTCCCAAAGTATAATGGGCTTTCCAGGCTTGCGTTACAGTGGTGCTATGCTCTACCTATTCATAATTCTATCTGGAATGGAAAAGCCACCTAGTTTACACAGAATTAAAATGGTTCTGTTCAGTAACAAGCGGCACAATTCTGTTAATGGCAAACTCTGTGGCTTGAGGTGAATTGGATGCTCAGGCTATTAAAAAGCAGCATTTCAAGTTTTCAAAGTGCAACCGAAATATTTGCCTTTGATTTGGGTGAATAGTCTGGAATTTCTAATTGTGTGAAGGGATTGCCACCGGCTTCTTAGGTTTATAAAGAATTTATAGAGGGAGGTCAATAGCAGCCACTCATATCTTAAGAATGTTGTCTGCCCAAGAGAAGGCTCCTACAAGAGCAGCCTAGATTTTCTCATCCATAAAATCTGACACAGAGACCAAAGGCTAGAATTGAGATCTGTTGAGCTCAAGGTGTTCTTGCAGTGCTCTTAATGCAAGAACTGCCATCAGCCCAAGAGATGAATCCCAGTTTGGAGAAAATACAGGGGTGGGTATAGCTGAAGGCAAAAGTGAGTGTGGCCCAAGCCATCCAAAATACCAACATATTGTAGCTTAAAGCTTTTGTTCGCTGCTCAGAGAGCCTCACCTATTGGGTAGCTAAATAAATAAAGCTCTTACTGCCAGTAAGCACATCTTCAGGTGTCAACCTTTTAGGATGGGTGGAAACACCTACAACAGCTGGAAAAAGTGATCAATGGCTGGGGGAAAGGCGTGAGGCCAGGGTGTGTCCTACTGGACAAGCCCAGAGGGTCACACTTGGTCCCCAGGCCTGAGGTTTGGCACCCATCTTAATGGATACAAAGGGATGAAGGCCAAATGGCTTTACTTTTAAAACAGATGTAACAAAGCGGGGTTGCCATGGTGTCCATGGGGCCTCCAGTAGGTTCTCATTTCCTGTTCCTGCCAGGAAGTTCTCATTTCCTGTTCCTGCCCTTGCTGTTGGTTAGGAGGCAGAGAAGGATGGAGTTACTTTCTGGTTCCACCAATAGTCTTCTGCCTCCCAGTCACAGCCAATGGCCTTGCTGTTCCTTTTTCTTCCTAGTCCTTAGCTCTTTTCTTTCTTTCCCTTTCTAACCAATCAAAGTGAAACCTCTGAGTAAACACATCTTTGAAGTCAGTGAGATTAGGCTGGGAATTTGAACTAAGAACCATGGTGAAGCATCTCATTCTCAAGTCCGAGACAATCTTGATATGTTTTCTAGATATTGTTTACTTTTTGAAAAAAAATGGCCTTCACTGACATTTCTGACAGGAATGACTAGTGCCGTACATAGTCTTCTGAGCTTCTACCAATCTTTTTTGCCTTTTCATTGCAAACATTCCTATCTGTTGATTCTTTCCCATCCCTCTTACCTTCAGACTGATGTGGATAATGACCTGGTTGGTGATCAGTGTGACAACAATGAGGACATAGATGAAGACGGGCACCAGAATAACAAAGATAACTGTCCCTACATTCCCAACGCCAATCAGGCCGATCATGACAAAGATGGGAAAGGGGATGCTTGCGATCCCGATGATGACAATGATGGTATCCCAGATGACAGGGACAACTGTCGCCTCACATTCAACCCTGACCAGAAGGATTCTGATGGTAAGGCTATTTTATAGCAACATCTGCCAGGACAATGAAGAGCTGGTGGAGCACCTCTCTTTTTCGTGTGCCTCCCATTGAGAGAATGATTTCTAGTCATTTTTCTTGAACAGACCTTGACACAGAATGAGAAGAAGGTTCTCTAAATCCAAACTGAGCCCGTGTGTCAGAAAACCAACTGAATTCGAGCCTGTTTACAATGTAGAGCAGCCTGGTTAAGGTGTGTTCCCAGATTGCTGCTGACTTGCCTTGAGTGCTGCATCCCATTTTGAAAATCTCCTTCCAAAGATGCCCTGGTCATTCCAATCAGAGAGCTGGGTGCACTCGGCATACTTCGAAGCAAAGGCTGTAGATGATGAAGCAGTAAGACCAGTATTATTTTGGGGTGCTTACAGCAGGAGTGGACAACTTGTGGACCTCCAGATGGTTTTGCCTCCAACTTACAACAGCCATCACCATTGGCTATGCTGGCTAGGTCTGATGGGGAGTGTAAGCCACATTACAGGAGAGCTGCAAGTTGTCCATCCCTAGCCTACCGTACCCCTCTGTCTTGAAATTCAGAGATAACCTGGAAGGATTTCCCCTATTATCATAAAAATTCACAAAGTCGATTTAATGGAGATAAGGCAGGGAATTTCTGCAAAGAATTGTACCCTGAGGACATTCTGAAATATGGGAAATAGTGCAAGTGTACATTCAACATCACTCAGTCTTGCATCAAAGTTACATCCGAAGGCACTCTTTTGCTGAAAATTTCACAAGGGAACTTATGAAGATACCCTACCAAATAGTCCCAAGTCTTCAGCCACTTGAAGCTGGTGTTTTGCAAAAGAGCCAGCCAAACCCCAAATCAGCTAAACTATTTATTTATTTAAAACTTTTATATGCTGTCATTTATGGCATCTCAGGACGGCTTACAATCATTAAAATCATAATACAATAAAACAATCCATACCAATATAATACATAACATACAACCAGTAAAAATAAATTAAATCAAAAGTGACTGTTAAACATTAAGATGCTAATTTTTAAAATGACAATTAAATAAACACGTTTTGACCTGGAGCCGAAAAGAATATAAGTTCGGCACCAGGCAAACCTCTTCAGGTAGTACATTCCACAATCTGGGCGCCACTGCAGGGAAGAGCCTCTCCTGCAGACCTTAGGGGGGGGGGGGGGGGGGGCATATAAGGAAGGAGATGTTCCTTCAGATATCCCAGTCCCAAGCCGTTCAGGGCTTTATAGGTCAAAACCAGCACCTTGAATTGGGCCCAGACTTCAACTGGAAGCCAGTGGAGCTGGTAGAGGACCAGTGTTACATGAGAATAACAACCTGTCCCTGTCAGCAGCCTAGCTGCTCTATTCTGTACCAGCTGAAGTATCTGGACTGTTTTCAAGGGCAGCCCACGTAGAGCGCATTACAGTAACCGGGAGGTTACGAGGGCATGAATCACTGTTGCTAGGCAGCATTTGTCCAGGTAAGGATGCAGCGGATGGACCAGCCGAAGCTGTAGGAAAGCACTCCTTGCCACCACTGCCACCTGGGTTTCCAGTGATGGCTCCGGGTCAAGCTGCGGACCCTGTCCTTTAGAGGAAGAGCTACCCCATCAAGAGCCAAGCTCTTAGAGTCAAGCTCTTAGTTTAATCTATTTTTATCCCCCTGGCTCAAGGTCACCCAGCAAGGTCTCTTTGGTCCTTGTCTGACCATCTGAGAAGTACAGAACACTGGCTTTCAGTTTTGCACACCTGTGGATCCTTCACTTTGCTTGTCTATCCTGTGGTTTCATGTATGATACTGTGGACGGCTTGTCAGCTATGTTTATGAATCACTGCTCTGTGCCAAAAGCTCCAGAGCCATCTGTATAATTTTTTACCTCTTTGCTGAGGTTCAGACTGTTAGGATCCTATCAAGAAATAAAAGTGAATGGTGCTTCTGTTCTGGTCAGCAAGCAGAACATCCATCTTTCAGGTTTCCCAGGGTCCCGTAGACATGGCTGGTGGGACAGACACTTAATTTCTTGACAAAAAAGCAGCCTTGTCAGCAGCAATCAGCTGCATGGGGAATTTGGTCAGCCAAGGAAATTGATCTTTTGATGCTGGCAGAAGGAATAAAAGTAGAAACACACCGTTGCCCCCTGTAAGTGTTAAGATCAACACATGCAGGAACATGCAGCTGGTCAGAATTTGGAGTTCAACTTGGCAGCCAGCCAGTCAGTGAAATGTGGAGCCATTTTTTCACAAAGATGAACTCCAAAAAAGCATTTGAGATGTTTGACCCTCTCCCTGTAATCCTATTTTAAAGGTTGTTTTGCTGTTGCATAACAAAGTTTGTTTCCAAAGATTAGGGAGGAGGCAGAAGGCTAGAATGGGAGACAGTGTTTTAAGGGATTGTGCTGCTGAAACATGTGATATAAGTCTCCAGGAGTTACCAAATATAGAAAGTCTCTTCTCTTCTTTTATATTTTATATTTTTATTTATTTTATATTGTTTTAATTTTATATTGTTATTTTTGTATTTTATTGTGTTTGTAAGCCGCCCCGAGGCTTCGGCAAGGGGCAGCATAGAAATGTTCTAATAATAATAATAATTCCATTGATAAGAGGAATTGATGTACACTTTCAATATTATAGGAGAATAATGGGAATACTACAGAATCTCTCTCTCTCTCTACTTGTAATATTCATGAATGGAGGGTAAAGTTTGGAAAAGTATTGGCTGTATCTCATGAGATATCAGAAGCCAAGGGGAACAAGGAAACCACAGATGAATCCTACTTTCCTAGCACAGTGAAAAGGCTTTGGAAAATTGGTTACAGAATGTGTTTGGATGTGTCTATAAAAATGCAATAAACTTGTGGGATGGGATTTGCAAATCATTAGCCCCTGAACTCCAAAACCAGATTTGTGACATTTCAGTCCTGTGCTTTGGCATCAACTTTAAAATCTGCCATTCTTCAGCCCAAGCAACTCTTTAGCCCAAACCACTATACATATTACATTTTGCAACACAACCCTCAAACTATTCACCACACTGCCAATAGCAGGGCTTCTTTAGAACCGGAGATTTGGTGGTTGCAGCTTCTGCTCACTTGAATTGCTCTGCCTTTGATACCACATTAATCAACACCGATTTCATTATAGCCACATTCCAAGGTTTAGAAGAATGCCTATTTCCCTTAAAGCTTATCACTGCTATGTTTTTGCAAGGTAAACAGTTTTTCCTACAAATAAAAAAGTACCCACAGGCTATTTTTACATGATTTACAGTAATGCTGCTCACTCATTTGATGCAGATGTGACAGAACTATATGGCTGCAAACTTAAGCACATATGAGAGAACATTGCTGAAGGCATTTGATGACATGGATAAAATTAAATTAAAATTAAAAATTCCAAAGTTCCTTTATAATATCACATTTTGTTGGATTCAGAACTTGGTGCAAAATGAAAGAGTTAACTTATTTTTCTCTCCACAACAGATATTCTAGTTCCTAGGCTTTGAAGTTATAGATATTCATTCTCAGAAATTAATTCTCAGTAATTCTCAGATATTAATTCTCAGAAATCTACGCCTCTCAAGTAGGGGTACAACTTGCTTAGGCCAGACTTGGAAGAGTCATGCAGTCTGAACAATTGCTCAGGAAAAGCCCATTTCACATGATACAACATTTCCCATCATAGTGACAGTGGCAGGAGAAATTGTGGCCGGGAGAAATCTCTTTCTGTGTAACTCTGAAGGTCCAAAAGCTCCTTTGGAGTCTGGACCCTGTGACAAATGCAGATATGTCAGTGAACACCTAGCAGTTGTAACAACACATAAGGCAGAAATGTTAACATTAATGAACAACCTGCATATGATACTAACTTCAAAATAATAGATTGTATCCAAAGAAGCATGAGCCTGATGGGTCCACTTATTAGCACTGTTCTGCAAACTGCAGTACAAACAATAGTGAAAATTTTGCACAACTAAGTATTTGGAGTTGCACAAAGTATCTGGAACTGTATCAATAGATGCAAAGCAATTGTGCCGCTCCGTGTCTGCATATAGGGCATATGAAGTTCGCTTTAGAAAGCAATCTTAAGGTTTAGGGCCTAATAGCTGGAATGTGAAGACTTCCGCATTTTAAAGTACATGCATCCTAGCAGTGTTTGGCAGTGAAACTGCTGTGGGAATTGGCAGGTATTTCCTGGAGGTATCCAAGCAGAGGCTTATGGCCACATCTATTCATTTATTTCATTTTTATCCCACCGAGTAGCTGAGGCTTCCTGTCAAGGCTGTTGTAGTTGCTGGCTCCATTGCAGTTCCCTTATTGAGCAGGTGGTTGGATTAGGTTGGAGTGGGCAGAGGGTGCCTCTATGGATGTTTAATGCTAGTATTCCTGACCATCGACCAAGCTGGCTGGGGCTTCTGGGATGAAGTCTAAAGCATCTGAATATCAACCTTCTGTCCACCTCTTGGCTAGACGACCTCCAAAGTCCCTTCCAACTCTCAAATTTTAAGGATCGTTTAATCAACCATCCTTTATGTTTCTCACTGGCTATAGTTTTGTCTACTTCAGCCTTGGTAAAATTGGCTCTACTATTACTTAATATGTTGCTACTCTTTACCTGCAACATTTGATTCCAGTTTCTAAGGAGTGTGGTATGACTGCTGAACTTCCATTGTTTGTGTCACTGCTGAATGATTCCACAATCCTTTCTAGGCAATGCTGCTTCTTCCTGCAGAAAGAGCTCCTTGTGAACATAATGTTAGACTATTTTATATTTTGTGCATTTTTAAATGCTTTTTAGGTGATGGCCGAGGTGATATCTGCAAAGATGACTTTGACAATGATAAAGTTCCAGATATTCATGATGTATGTCCTGAAAATGATGCTATTAGTGAAACTGATTTCAGAAAGTTCCAGATGGTCCCCCTGGATCCTAAAGGAACAGCTCAGATTGACCCAAATTGGGTTATTCGTCACCAGGGCAAAGAACTGGTACAGACTGCTAACTCCGATCCTGGCATAGCTGTCGGTGAGTATTGGATCAATCTAAAGTCATTAGCAAAGGCTCTCCTGATGAGTGCAATACACGTAGAATTGTAAGCTTTGACCACAATCTAGAGGACTAACTTAGCCATTCACAAGACCTTCCATGCATCCAATGACACCCTGGACTGTGCTTTGGTTGAACAACTGGACCCCATGCAATATTATACTCTGCTTTTGAAATGCTCTTGAGTTGCTTGTGTGATACTGGATGTTTCCCCTTCTGCTCCAGGTTATGATGAATTCAGTTCTGTTGACTTCAGTGGAACATTCTATGTCAACACAGACCGGGATGATGATTATGCTGGGTTTGTCTTTGGCTACCAGTCCAGCAGTCGTTTCTATGTCCTGATGTGGAAGCAAGTGACTCAGACGTATTGGGAGGATAAGCCCACCAGAGCTTATGGGTACTCAGGGGTATCACTTAAAGTAGTGAATTCCACAACTGGCGCTGGTGAACATTTGAGAAATGCTCTTTGGCATACAGGAAATACACCTGGACAGGTAAGAGATGGCTAAGTCCCATAGGAAATGTGCTCTCAACATTATCCCCTTGCCTAAAGTCAGCTGGTGGCATCAGTTACCATAGTTTGCTTAGCTATTATCCATCAAAATTGGGCCAAAGTATTATACATATGAGGGATGCAGGTGGCACAGTGGGTTAAACTGCTATGCTGCTGTGCTGGTTGATCGAAAGGTCGCCGGTTCAAATCTGCACAACAGGGTGAGTTCCCATTGCTCCGTCCCAGCTCCTGCCAACCTTGCAGTTCGAAAGCATGCAAATACAAGTAGATAAACAGGTACCACTTTGGTGGGAAGGTAACAGCGTTCTGTGTACCTCGGTGTTTAGTCATGCCGGCCACATGACCACAGAGACTGTCTGCAGACAAGCGCTGGCTCCCTCAGCTAGGAAACGGAGATGAGCACCGCCATCTAGAGTCAGGCATGACTGGACTATAATATCAAGGGGAAACCCTTTACCTTTATTATACATATAGCCAGTGATTCAAAATTTGTTTGTGGCCATGCACAAAATGTTCAGCTTAGCTGAGGGAATGCCAGGCTCAAATCCTGGTTGTACTATCCCTACCCTTTAGGTCTTACGTGGCCTAAGTGTGACTTATAAGGGTTATGATACTGTTCTTCAAGGAATACACAGTGCATCTCCTAAGAGTTCCCAACAATCAATCATTCTCTCCCTCCCTGCCTCCCTCCCTCATATCTATCAGAGTATCATTTGCCTGGTTAATAAAGCTGCAGAAGAATGAGTATCTCATATTGACCTAAGGACATACAGATTAAGAGCTGCACATTTTGAATGGCTTTTTATTTCCTGATTTACAACGGGGTGGGCAACTTATGGCCTTCCAGATGGTTTGCCTAGAACTCCCATTATCCCTCTCTGCTGGCAAAGGCAGTTGAAAGTGGTAGGGAAAATGGCTCACTCCCGAGCCACAGAATAGAAGCCGCAGGCAACAGAGCTTTCCCATTTGCTGCAGCAAATCATTTACCAGTTCTCTCCTGTTTCTGCTTTTACCATAGGTGCGCACCTTGTGGCATGACCCCAAAAATGTCGGCTGGAAGGATTACACAGCCTACAGGTGGCATTTGATCCACAGACCTAAGACAGGATTAATAAAGTATGACATTTCTTGTAATATACAGTATTGCTTTTCCCACCGATCATAAATGAGGTTTTATTTAATGGCTTGTAAGCAAATTCCATTGTTGTCACTTCATTCATGGCAGGCCTTTTTCTTCGTATTGCTGAAAGATTTGGGAGGATTCTGAATAGTTTGCCTTTCCTCAGCTTTCCATCCCATCAGATGTGTTTAATTTCCTTTGAATGGCTCATATAAACAAAGCTCTTATTAGATAAAAAACAATTCCTCAAACTCTTGGAAAGGGGCTGTTTTTCTGGAAAAAACAAAACCCTGAAGTTGGGAGACAAGGCAGAATTCAAAACAATGCTTAAAAGAGGATTTTAAAAAAAGGAGCCCCTGTCCCCACCCAGGTTATCAGAAGTAAAATATTAATAGGAATTAGAGAAATGTTAAATACTTCCTCAGAACTGTGATATCAGCTACCATCAGAACATCTGGAATGCAGTCTTAACTGCTATGTAAATGCACAGTCACTCACACAATTGCCCATGCAGATTTTCTGAATAAAATGCCAGTTAAAAACCCATGTTTACACACCATGTGTTCCCATCATAGGGTGAGTGCAATTTCTGCCCTCCCATGTGAATAGGGTGAGAAAGGGGCAGGTAAAGGAACTGCCCAAGAGCAATGCAACAAGCAACTTCTTTTGTCCTCCATGGTCACTGACAGGGGGAGGTGCACTGCCTACAACCTTCTCCCCCTGGCAATGGAATGTTGCCCTTGGGGGTGATCATCCCTGTGCCATTTTTCCCTTTCTCATGCCCTCACATGCACTAATGTTCTCGCTCTCTTCACCACACATACATCTTTCCTCCATCATCTGTTGATTCTCGTTGTCCCACCCCCATATCAGAGCCATAAACTTGCTTAGGGAGCAGCAACATAAAAAGCTGCAGATGGATGGCCAGTTTGGTTCATGGGAAAAGGAGTCATGGAGCAGTTCAAGTGCTAAAAATCATGTGCTTTAGAAACTTGTGTTGGAATTCATCACCATTTTTCTCTTAAAAGGACTTTCCTTACAGCTAGAGAGGTAAATAAAGCAATTCATAAAATCTAAATGATGTTCTTCCTTCACAGGGTTTTAGTGTATGAAGGGAAGCAAGTCATGGCAGATTCCGGACCAATCTATGACAAGACCTACGCTGGTGGACGGTTAGGTCTGTTTGTCTTTTCACAAGAGATGGTATACTTCTCTGACCTCAAGTATGAATGCAGAGGTAAGTTGATCTTTACCACCATTGATTTTCGTACTCTCAAACATTCAGCTTCACAAGATCATGTAGAGGATTCCAGTAGATCAAAAATTCATACACACATGTTGCTCACTTGGTTACTAAACACTTGAGGGTTCACAGATGAACTACCAAGCTGACTCTGCTGTGTTTGATGGACCATCAGTTGACAGCAACCTTGATTTGCAATGTTAGATCTGGAATGGCTCCTTCACACCTGATAATGATGATGCATGTTTGAAGGAGCCCTTTAAATGAGAGCAATCTCCAATTTCATTATTAATTCCTAATGATTAAAAATGTACCTTACAGCTGCCCCAAGTCTTTTAATACGTGAAAGAGGATAATTGGGCTGCAATTCTAAATGCTGGTGGCTAGAAGCAAGTCTCACTGAAATCAGTGGTGCATACTTCTGAATGGATGTGCTTAGGAATGCTGTATCCAATGGAAAGCTCAAGCAAACAGCCCTGTTCCCATAATCAAATAAAGTAACTAAGCAATTGCATATGTGCCATCATCAATAGAGCAAGATTTCACTCAGCAGTCACCAGGCTGGCAGCATGGCATTGTACTCTCTGTAGTCTGTACACATTCTGTAGTCGGCTTATGTGAGTTACTGTCTAGCTTGTGGGGAAGAAAATAGCTGGCCTGAGTGCTAATAGCTTCAGGCCAAGTGTGGGCCCCTTACGGCCGCCAAACGTTTTGGCTTATATATCTCAGACAATACAGGCAGTGATGAAGGATGATGGGAGCTGTAGGCAGAAACACATGGATACCGTATGTAGGCCTTTATGCTGTTTCATGAGGTGTATTGAGATTCAGGTCACTGTAGCTCTATAAAGGCAGGCTAAAGGGAAATATTTCCCAAAATCATTCACTGCAATATAACCTCTACTAATAAGGTCTACTGGACTGGGTTTTCACGACCAGCAAGAGGTAGAGTGTTGGTGTGAGTAAGATGTCTTTGTTGGGAGGCCTATGTAGCCATGAAGTTTCCTTGGGAGCCCTTAACTAAATATGCATTATTGGACTGTAGAAAGGATAATGGAATAAACTCATGTTTAAAACCCTGAATAGTTTGATGAAAGGGAGGAACACAATCCATGTTAGATTTAAACTGGGGTTTTTTTAATTATTGTGCATGTTTATTCTATATTGAAGGTTTTCTTTTTTGAGTCTGCCAGGGTAAAAACATGTCAAAAAACAAAATGTATTAATATGCCCAAAACAAGTAACTTTCTAATTTTCCATGTTTTCTGTGCTGTAGTCACAGTTGTACTAACCAACTGCTTCTCTCTGTTGCAGATGTCTGAGCTAAAGCTGCTGCGTAGCCAGCAAAGTACTGTAGATGCCGTTCAACCTAGACACCTCTGTGCATCCTGGTACTCCAAATCCCTCACTCTCTTTGCAGCTGTCCTTCTGGCATGTCCCCCTCACCCTGTACCTCCCTGCTGCCAGGAGGGAACACTCCAATCCTATACCTTAAGTGCCTTCTAACAGCTTGGACTGACAGGGCCTAAATGTGACCGTTGAACCCACTGCTGGAGCAAAAGTAGATTACCGTGTGGAGGGAAAACTTGGCAGGCATGTTTGATCATTGCTTCGATTTTTTATTTTGGTTTTTTATTTTTTTTGCAAATTGACGTTTACATAAAAATGTGTAAAGGGGTAATTAGTTAATGTACTTATATGAACCGATATGTTGGAACATGAGGTGTGAGGAAAAACATCAAGGAGAGTGGGGGAAGTGGTTATATGTGAGATCAGTTCTTATGACCTCGTTACTTGCCCAGTTCAGGCCAGGCCTTGGTAACAACAGTGTCTGAGAGACACATTTTAGTGAAATTAAAGATGATCTGATTCTGAGTATCCTGTTCATTATGAAGCCGTGGAAAATTAACAGAGGCCAGATAAGAAGATGGTTCAGTGAGCTTCAATATGCTAACAATTCTTTACACCTGTTTTGATGAACCATAAATGCGATGATCAAAATAATCTCCCTCTTGCAGTGACGAATACTCGGACTTCAGCAGGCGCTAGTATGAACAATTACAGTTCAGCCACAGCTTAGATTCCTGTGGGACAGCCCTGAAGGAATGTTCAGATTTGAATTTTGTTTCTATTCTTCAGGAGTGAATTTGGAATTATTTTTGTGGAGGAATACATATAGGAATGTTAGTCATTCCATCTACCGCATGTGGATATCTCTGACTCCATTCCAGCATCAGGTTCTTCTGAGGCTACCTTGGGAGAAGGAGATGGCAGACACCGAATATCTTGCAGATAATTCTGTTGTTGGGTGGGGGAAACCCATGCCTGTAATCTGGCCTTATTTAAAAATAAAAATGTCCATGCCTCCACAGTAGTTGTTGTAACAGCACTTGGTGGAAGTACTGTAGCTCCGTAGCACGATGGCAGAGCACATATTTTCCATACAAGCAGTCCCAGGCCAAGCTTCTGCTATCTCCATCCAGGCAGAACTGGGAAAGTCTCTGGAGAGCCACTACTAATATGAATAGGTACTGCTAGTTAGATGGACCAATGGACTGCCTCAGTGCAAGGCAGCTTCCTGTGTTTCTGCTGCAGAGGAAACGGAACTGTGCAAAGCTCGGGTAGACTATCCAGCAGCACATACTCTAAAGCTGTTCTTTTTACTTTAAATAGGACTGCTCTGCAGTAAATTGCTCTACCTTTCATAAGTGGGTTACACATTGCCACTGTCCCATTTTCAAGACGAATTCCCCCTCTGCCCCATGTATACACCCATATGATATACTGTGGATGGATGGATGGAAGGAAGAATGCTTGGTGCTTGTCCACAGTGTATTTAGGCACACCTTTCACACCAACAGTATTTGACTAGTCTAAATTGGGAGACGTAAGGCAGAAAAACCACAAATGAGGCTGTTACCTAAAGTGTAAAGTTAGTCCTTGGAGCTTACTCTAGGGAAGTAAGCACTGGGGAGATGTCCCTTTGCACTAGCAGTAGAAGCAATGCCATGAGGAACAGCTGTTCCTGAAGCACTCTCTGGCTGTGCGCATGAAGCTTCCACGAAAATACTACCTGGCCATGTGCACCATTTCCCCATCACTGCTGCAGCAAGCACTTTGATACCCCAAACCTTGATCTGGGTTTCTGATATGGCAGCAATGCAACCGTGCCCAAAATCTGGTAACATGATACGGTTCCAGTTATAAGAATATTGATGCTATTTATTACTGTAGTGTGTGCCTAAGTTCTCCAGTAATTTATTTCAAAGTAGGCCATAAGAGCGTATGAGCAATCAAAGACCTCACAGAAGATGGTTACCAAATGCCTTTAATGGTACAGCTGGGAGATCTGAATGCACTTGGTTATATATGTGATTTATATATTATAATAATATCAAAATGCTCTGAATTAAACATCCATTGAGACCTTATAAGTGGAACCTTGATATTTACCACTGCCCACAGTATTTGTATGTTCCTATAACATGCTGTATGTAGGACTTGTAAAGAAAACTGTGCTAAAGTTATGTCAGCCTTTTATTCTAACCGGATGCATCCATTATTTAGCTATACCATAATATGCACATATTTAATACTTTTGTTCTTTTAAGTTGCCCATGAGGTATGCTGGCTGAAGCAACTTTATTCAGGTTTACAAGAGACGAATAATACCACCTTCATCCTGAGTCATCTATGCCCTCTGCCACAAGTGTGTCAGAATGCGCACGCAGTGGCATGGGTTGGGCATGTCTGGCTGAGCCTGCCAATCAGTGCTTTGCTTGGAGCTGGCAGAACCTGGTCCCTGCAACAAACAGCTGTTCGGTGGGAATCCAGCTGGTAAATTCTGCTTCACATGCATGGTCCGGGCAGCTAGATCAGGCCGTGGAACTGAATGCAAGATTCCCTCTCCACCAGAGATATGCATACACAGCGAAGTCCCTCACAGGACTGAGGCGATGGAAGCCACCCTTATGCAGGCAGCTCCATTCAAAGGAACGAACGATCAGAGAAACTTTGCGCACGTGAATGGATGCAAGACCAGCGCTGTCACTTGCCCTGCACAAAATGAATGAGGCATCCAGGAGGATGGGCTTCTTCTCCACGCATGCATCTGGGCTGCACCGTCCAAAGCCGACTGCTGGACTGGAGTAATCGCTTGCCTTGTTTGAGGATACAGTGAGCCAAATGTCAGTTCCTCTGTTTTCAATCAAGCTTTTAAATAGAGTGGAATGTTATATAGCTTATAAAGAATCCAGTGTTTCAGGCTTTATTGCACATTTTAGTTTTGTCATATTAACATAAAGTCATGTTAACATAAAGTTCTCTTTATGAGGCTTTTCTCCCCTTTTCTTTTGCTGGGGGTGTTTTTTGCAATTTGTATGTTTAATGTTTTGAAAGTGTAGTGCCGAGTCCCAGAGAGAAGTGAGGGAAATTTTATTCATGTAATAATGCTTATATATCCTTCAAATAAAAAGAAGACATCAGTGCTGGGACTAAGATGTTAATATTTAGATTGTATCATAAGTGCCTATATAATGTAAATTATTTATGATGATTTCCTTTTGTGTGTGTGTGTGCATGCATGTGTGTTGGTGTGAGTGTGAGCGAGAAGAGGGCCTGAGAGTATGCGTGTGTGTGTGTGCATGAAGGGCAAGGGGTGTGTGTATGTGTGTATATGCACACGTATATGAACAAAAGACCAACAAGACTTACATTTTGTTTTGCTAAAGACTGTAAATAACTATTTATTTGTTTGCACGGAGAGAATTTCACCATTTAATGTCCCTCATTTATTCAAATTCTCCTTTTTATACATTTAACAATAGACAATAAACTGTCAAAAGGCTTTACTGAAAGTGTTCTCTTTACTTTTGCCTAGCTTCATTTTTAAAAAGAATTCACAAAAACCCAAGATGCCCATCATTCAGAATGTCTCTGTAATTGAAGCCAAACATCCTTTCTATGATCATCTTAAGCAGCCATTGTTGATAACAACAGGACTCGATCTGTGAGGAATGGCCAGTACCACAACAATCATCCTCTCGCACAACTCCCCACCATGTACCTCAATGGAGGTTGTGCTGGAGAGGTTCATGGTAGACTGTATTTTCTGTTCTAAAAAGTATTGATGTGATCAAGAGACCACCTCATTTCTTGTCAACATCAGTGCTATGGATCAATTTCTTGACTGAATCTGGAGTAGCGTTTCTGAATAGATGCACAGATTCAGCAATGCCGTAGATTCTCTCTATGACCAATGGGTATTTATCACTGCACAAAGGGGTTTGCAGACATGAGAATGACTATAAGAGTGCATTCAGGCAGGCCATCCAGTCTATTAACATGTGATAAATGCATAGGAAGAAAATCCTCTGGGAATGGACCCAGTTTTAGATGTGTTTGCACTCTGCCAGAGGCAGACTGGAGCTTCTCCATCCCCTGAAAGTGTTAATGGAGGGCTGGAGGACCCTGCTGAATTGGATGAACTGTGCCATTAGGGGACTCTCCCCCAAATGAGGTGGAAGTATCTTCCACAAAAGGAATCCTCCTGTGGAACTAGGTCTTAAGTGGAACCTAAGTCATTAAACAGAGAAGCTGAACTCTTGTAATCTGTGCTGGTCAGCCTGGAACTGGCTGCCATCCTCTATTTTGCACATCCACTCCAAATGCAGAAAAAACAAACTATTTCACCATAAGCACATGTGGAAAGGACAGAACAATGCATTAGTCTTGCCCTACTAAGTTGAGCTGAGCTGAGCAGACATGAATTTGGCTGCCTGGTCTCATTGACCCTGGTCTTCCAGCAGACTCTAGGCAAGGATGTAGGAAGAGCTGGGTGTGGAATGGCTAATGGAATCACACAGCAGTTGTGCAGTTGGCACAAAGCGCCACTGAGCCACACTTGGACTGGACAAGCAGTCAAATATACAGGACCATCCTCTACCAGCATTCCAAAACGGAGAACTGGCAGGACTCCTAGTTCTTGGCAGCATTCACCGATACCAGGGGCCATGTGAACTACATTCCTCATAATCCTTAGTGGCCCTAGATGTGAGTGTGGAGTCACAAGCCTGAGGTCTACCATGGATGTCGGTTCCTTGCAGCCCCTTTGCTGTCCCCACATTTCAGTAAGTTTTGAGAAAGTCGGCACAGCAGGGAGGGCTCCACTATTAACAATATGATGGGCTCTTAGAGAGCTCTCCATCCTGTTAAAAATAAAATTAATGCTGGGTGGGTGTCCAATAGATGTTCTTCATCTGATTTAACAGGACCTGTTCCAAAAAAGATGGGGTATGTTTGAGTGCCTTCATGTTCCTAGTCACAGTATATGGGCCATGGTTTGATTGATAACACTTTTTGCAGTACTATTTCCTAAAGAATACTCTTTTTTCTTGCATGCTGTCTCCAATCATAATAGTTACAGATGAGTTTGGAATGGAGTTTCAATCAGTATTATGCTATTGCTATTTGCTGCCTTTTTATTGGAATATTTTCCAGAAATGCTTTAGCAATTAAAGGGGATTTTCCCCCCAGAGAAAGTAGTTTGCCAAGATGTATGGTAGCTTTCAAGAACTAAAGAAGAATTATAGATGTCCTTTACGTGAATGAATAGCCAGGGATTAAAATAACTGGCATGTCCTTTTTATTCATATAAAAAGGTTGCAGATCAGAACTCCCAATCTGATTCAGGTATTTTTGGAGGACATAGTTAGCTGTCTAGGGACAGGTAATTTTGCTGAATCTGTTTCTCACCAGGTTACAAGATTCGTGCACACACAAAAAATGTACATCACATTTCTGTATGTATTTGCAAAAGAGTCTTTTAAAAAAAAAAAAGAGGAAAAATAAACACCCCTTAGATAACTCCATATTTCTTCTTTGCACATGTTCCAAAAAGTGCAAAGTTTTGTGCTGATTTTAGAAATTTGCACATTCCACCATGAATAAAGTGATGTGTAATGTATTGTTCCAATTGTGTCCAATTTGTGTGCATTTTTAAAACTGATGGAATTTTGAGCCTACTGTTCTAGAAAACTGTGGATTTCTGGTTGGTCTTTGTGGAGAGTTTTTGTAAATTTG